CATCTTGTGTATTCCAATTCCTGATCTAGTTGCTGGAGAGAAATGAAATTGAGCAGAGGCACTAGGTAGCGTCAGCCTGGCTATCATATTTCATCATTGGCAGTAAAATTGTAGGTGTTACTGGGAGCTCTCTGGTGGCTTTGGGGTCTTAAGAAGCTGCTTCGCCAGCTTATTAGATAAGGCCGGCTCTGGTGGCAAAATGATTTCAAGATATAATTAAATCTGAAAACTGTTAAATCTGAAAAAAAATCAGTAAAATCAAAATTCAAGAAACACTCAAATTAAACCATTGCGAGTGACAGTTGTATTTGTGTTGTAGTTGTGTGGGTTGGGGGTGAAACTCGCCTGGACAAGAAGACTGAGCAGCTTACATGTGCACAGCTATCAAATGTAGTTCAATGTCAGTTTAAAACAAATATTGTGTATCGCAAAAATCTGCTCATTTATTTTGAATAAATAACTGAAAGTATTCCGATTAGACGGGTGTCACACATATGAACTTGTGTATCCTAAAAAGTGAGAGCTATATTTGAAAAGATTAATACTATTCTTTTAATTAGCTGAAATGTTGTAAAAGTTGTGCCACAGAACTGAGCCTTATTGAAGCCAAAATAAAAGGGCCATTTGAAGCATAATACGGAGTGTGTTTTACCTTGGCTGCATTAAAAGCTGAATGCTGCAGGTGTAAAAGGCGCATTGTGACTAGTAAATATTGTTTTGTTTATTTCCTTGTATACACTATTCTCTGTATTGTGGCGCTGACAATCTCGAGGTGACATTCGAGGACCCGCTGCTTTGTGCCACGTGAGAGAATGAGCAGATCCACAAACAAAACTTTTAAAGTGTGAGTCTGACATCTGCACTCTTTCACTTTTCAAGATCACTTATCAGGCTAAGAGAAAGGGCACCGCATTGTATCTCCACTAACATCACACACTTTTATCAACCAAGGTTCGAAATATAAATATGCACTTGAGAATGTGGAGAAGTAAAAAATAAATTAAGTACAAGGTCGGGGAAAAAGGCAGGAAAAACATAAAATGGCGTCCACGAGACAAGAGTGACAAATTAAAAATCTGACTTGAACTATAAGCACTATTGAGCAGAGGCTGAGGATGTAAAGGGACTGTCGTCATTCTTGTGTGTGGCCAAGGTGATGGGGAGTCAGTCAGCCTCGTGGAGATGCTCTATTCTAACACCTTTTATGTTCAGTCAATGAGCGTCTTTTATCCTCCAAGAATGTGTTTGTGAGTTTAATCAGAAAAATTCCACTTATGGGGGATCTTTTCACAAGGCTTTTCTGCATCAGAAAAACATACCAGCTAACGCATCTTCATCCCCTTTCAAGAATATCCGAATATTTCTGATGTTAATGACTTGAAAGAGGGGTGTGACTTTAGCGATGTTAACCAGTGTGAAATGGCAGTTTGTCTTCTGCAGCCACTACAAAAGTCTGTGTGATACCAGGCCTGTCATAATAATTACTATACGGACTTATTTATAGAACAATAACCGGGGCTCAGTATTTATCATAGGTACTTTTTCTTTTTGTTATTTTTGTTGTAATACGATAAGATTAATGATACCATCTATTTGAAAAGGTTTACTTTATTTTACTCTTAATCAGTGACAAAAAGTAGTTGGATACTTTCAACCCTGGAATCGCCAATCTCTACTGAATAAAAGGTAAAAGGTAATGGTTAAACTACCACTAGATGACATCACAAGGTGGAACAGAGGATTTTGAGCTTTGGAGATGTAGACAGATATAGATAAAGTGTTACTCAAGCTTGTGTGAATGAAACAAAACACAACTCCAGGTATGTTTTTGATGAGCTAACAGTATTATAACATGTCTTAAAGTTCACAAGAGTCCATTTAGTGTAATACAAGACCTTTAACAATACTTTGTTCATACTGCGCTACAAGATGCAATTACAACTGTTCTCACAGGTTTCAAAATTGTTTAAGAGAAATATGTCAAGGCAAATCAGAGAAAACAGATATAAAATTGTAAAATAATCAACATAAAAATATTAGCTATCATTTCTGATAATGCCCATCCAAAAAGATACAAAGAAAAAAGTCATATTGCGTGAGTTCTATTGCACAAAGGAGCCTTCTCTCTTTTACTACAGTCTCCATAGACAGCACTGTATGGCACAGGTCAGCCACTAAATGAAGAGTGTAGAATGGTGAATATAAGCACCACACAAGAGCCTCTTCACCTCTTTGATTTAGCTCCACAGTGACCCTTGATAAAACAATCACACATCAAGTAGTGTGCATTCATCCACACATGTATGGCATAATACAGCGTGCTCAGTTATGGAGGACTTTTAAATGTCCTACAGTATGACTGATCTTATACAGTTCTATGGTATAATCCTGCAGCCATGTTTTATAGTTTCCCACTTCAGACCACTAAATGCTTAGTCCCACCTTGTGATGTCAGTAGGTAGTGTTTTTAAAATCCACCTTTACCATTTTAACCATGTTAATGCGATACTTTACAACAGCAACTCCTGACCTTTTTTCTTTTAAGAAACTTTTTTCAGGGACTGGTAGACAGGGGTCCAGTAATAATTTTTAACAATACTTTAAAAAACTCATGTTTGCTATTTACCAGTTTCATTTGCGCTATATTTTTAGAGTAAAATACAGATATAAGGTGGTAGACTATAAAAAAGAAGTAAAAATTATTTTAAACATACAGAATATTTTCCTCTGGGGCCTGGTACCAAATACCCAAGGGCCGGGTTGTACAGCATTATATGATCTACCTTTGTCAACAAAGAGTCAATGATGATGAGAAATGTTCCAAATGATTTGACCGCATGTGCCCCTGATACATGTTTGAATCAAAAGATCAAACTACACCAAGTTTCAAAAAAATGTTTTAAAACGAAAAATGAAAAAAAAAAAAAAAACCATAATTATCACTAATCATCAAAATGAAAAGAAATGTATTGCTTTCAAATGTATTAGAAGAAAATGTTTAATTATTCAGTCAACGCTAAAATGTTTTAGAACGACTTTTATCTCTTATTTATTGTCATCCAGTAACTCTGAATTCTAACAAACCCAAACTTTGAGGAAGCTTCTATCCTAGTGTGACCAGAATTGAAATCAAACCTCCAAAATGATTGTGATGTGGATATAACAAAATGGATTTTAAGCTGCATTTGTATTGCTTAGTGATTTTTTATTGTCCGAGGCCTTCACCTACAGTGTTTCTGATCATTTAAGCGTTGTCTGAAAATGAAAAGAGAAGAAAGAAGAAAAATGACTTTCTAAAAATCAATGCTGCTGTGGATTGTAGACAGTGAAGGTGAAACTCAATTAGTCACAAAGACCTTGTCTTTCCTCACAAGGGACTTCACTTTTCAAGTTAGGGGAGGAGACAGGGGCAAAGGCGTCTGTTGTCCCAAGCCCCAGGGTAGGGCGCACAGTTGGATCCTATTCCTATTCAGTTATATTGGACAGGGGCCTAAGTATGGCCTATGTGAGGCTTCTTATCTGCCACTATATACAATATTATACTGTACTATACTATAATATATAATATAATTAGGATTAGAGGGGTAAATGTAGTAGACTAGAGCTAAATTGTATAAATGGTGCCTACTGTGACTTGTGTATTACATTTTTATTAGTCATTCTTATTTATTTAATAACTGATGTAGCAACTCATCTTCACTTCATTCCGTCTTTTGTTTGAACCACAGATTGTTATTATAGCGGAGGCAGAGGAGCGAGGCAATGGTTTGCTGCCTCCTTGTGGAACTTAACATAAGTGCAGGAAAACGGCCTACTTGCTCTTCTAAACTGCTATGTCAATTGACGCATAAAAGACATTTTAAAAAAATAAAACAAGATAACAAACAAGATAAAACAAAGCTATAGCTATAGATAAATAGATATAGATATATAGATAAGTAGTAGGCCTACAAGAAAGCTGAATATTCTATTTAGATTTTTTATTTTATGTCTATTATTCAACCTGAGTCTCTCACAGGGACGAGGAGGTGGTGTCAGCTGAGTTCTGGTTAAACATTGGCCCAGAGTTTGCCTTCCGCCTTCTGTTGTTTTTACACTGACGCTGCAGCGATTGTTGCCGCCTTTATTGACTCAGTAATTAAAGTATTTTAACCTGTGGATTCTGTCATCATCACACACGCTGTACCATCTGGCCCTGACTGCGCACATGCTCCTCAAATGGATTTTACCTGAGAACAGATAACATATAAAAGGCGATGCAGGAGGGGGAGAAGGGAAGGTGATACGGACATTTAAATATTTCTATGTACTTATGTACTACTTATTATTCAAAATTTCTTTCTCACAGTGTAGGGCAAAATAATCGATTTCTCCTCCAACTTTTATGTATTATTGCTAAAAAGATATAGTAGGAAACTATAAAATATTATATATTAATTGACTATTGACTATTGACTATTGACTATCTTTTTCTGGTAGTGGGTCTGCACCCATTTATCCATGCCTCCTTGCTTATTAGTCAATAACAGGTGGTACAGGTGGTTTTATTACCAAATATACACTGAAAAATTAGCATTCTCGCAGTGAGCCAGTGTGCCTTTCCAATTGAAAAATAAACATTCTTTTGACTGTGGTGATATAATTGTATATATATTTATGTTTCATATTTGCACGATCATGTTATATTGTTAATCTCAAGTGACTTTAGTAAAAGAGAAAAAGAGAAAATCCATAATTTTTTTCCTTTTGGCATGTAACTTAGCACCAGTCTTTTGGAGTTATGTTTCGTAATCATATTGTGGAGAATATTCATGTTTTAATGTAATATTCCAAAGGCACCAATGATACAAGTCCTTAATAAATATAGAAAAATTGGGTAGATTTTTGCAGATTCCTCATTTAATTTACAATTCTTCAAAACATCTTACAAATAGCTCTCATCTTAAGTGTGTAGTCTGCAGTCTGTTATTCCAACAGGTCTAATTTTGTAACAGTTGACTTCACTGCACTCCCCCAGCCCCCATAAACACAGTGTTAATGGGGGGCAGTGAAGACACCAGGTCGTGCACCTCAGAGACTGATGGGACGCGCTGCTGCTGCTGCTGGGACAAGATGGCGTCCTGAGAGGAGAACGAAGAAGAGCCACTGAACATGCAGGGGGCTGTGACGGACAACAGGGAGGGACCTAAGACACACAAGAGTAAGAGAACAAGAGTAAGTAAGAATGAGACATGTTCACACATTCAAATAATCACTTGTAGTCTATGCTTTCCCTGAAGAATACAGTATATACACTTGATGCAAACTGTCAGAGAAAGCACCCCTAACCACTGCTGGAAGTATTGCATTTTGTTACTTAAACCAACACTAAGTGGCACTTCACGATACCATGGAAACAAAGTTGAAACCATACGTTGGAACATTCTCCGTGTCTAAAGAGTTACATGATGAGATATTAAGAGTACATATCCATGTTGAAGTAAAACTACCCAATATCCAACATCCAGACTGTCTCCTAACTAATATTATATTAGTTATTCATTAATACAAATATTATACAGACACATCTAAATGTATAAATGAATTTGTAATGCCATGTTGAAAAGCCCAACCCAGTTTGGGAAAAAAAAATTACCACTAGTTACACACTAATCCTCCTATCTTGTCATTGTGACTGCATTGTCCCTTCCAATTAAACAATTTAATTTGTATACATCATATTCTACACAAGATTTACAATGACACAAGGCTCATCATTAGATTTCCATAAAACAAAATATAATACTCGAGGTGTAACCCACACTCATGTTGACGTGTGGTGCATGGGCATGTTAACATGTGATGCTCTGCTCTCACCCGTGGAGTGCTCCGACTCGCTGTAAAACACAGTGCTGTTGTTTTGCGGGTGATTTCTCCGAGCAGGTTCAGAGGGTCGTGAGCCTCAGAGAAAGACCCAAATGCTCTCAGACTGCTCACACTGCTGATCACTGACACGTGCTGATCCAGTGAGGTCATCCTCTCCAAACATGGGCTGTTTCCATAGTAACCTACAAAACACAGACACACCTGCTTTTTAAACATTGCTTTAATGCCTGGTCACTGTTGGATAGTAGATTTATGTATTATTATGCAGCAATAAATGAAGATGAAAAAAGGTCACTGAAGTGTTACAGTGTGAGGGATTTGCACCAAATGCACTCTAACTGTTTGTACACATCAAACTTACCACTGTGAGCGGTTGCTGCAGAATAGCCGCTCTGTGCACTCTGTGCCCCAAACCCAAAGGCCTCAGAGTCCATGATATGAGTCTGGTCCAGTCCTGGTTCAGGGTGGTGTGGTTCAGACTCAGAGGCGTAGCTGGAGCGAAGGGGCCCATAAGAGGGCACAGAGCAGGGGGCAGTTCTGGTGGAGGGTGGGGCAGAAGTGTGGCTGAAGAACACTTCTTTACTGAGGGGCTGTTCACTGAAAGAGGGGTAACGACAGACAGAGTATCCCAGCGAGGAGCTCTGGGAGGGGACAGAGGACACACACTGGCTCTGAGGCCTGCCGGAAAAAAAAGGTATTCCAGAATTATGTTAAGGAAAGCTGAGGCGACATATCCTAGAGACTTTTATTTAAATACAGTTGTTTTGTAGACATTTTCACATCTGTAGTTGACCTGAGAGACAGTTGGTAGTTAGATGCCTGGCTGGTTGGAGGGAAGTACCCTGCTCCACTCTGAGGTAAGCCCTGATACAGGGTTTCTGTGTAGGAGGAGCAGGGGCTAGGCTGTGTTAGGGTGCTGAGTGACGACTGGCATGAGGATGATGAAGATGTGGAGGAGGAAAAGGTCAAAGGTCGTGCTGCCATGGGACCCTGGTTTATGACTGAGCCACGGTGCACTACTCCCACTGGAGAGATAGGGGGCGTCATGAGTGTCCCGCTCACTTGTGAGAAGTCCACTTGGGAACCTGGGAAGAAAAGAGCAAAAGTTGCTCTAAATGTCCACATCAAAACAGAAGACCCAGTATCTAACAGACAGCAACATTAACTATTAATTAGGCTACTCGTTTTTAAGATTATAGTCCATAAAGTATATAGACTATTTTATTATGGGCATAAAGCCCATATCAACCAAGGGGTCAGGAATAGAGAACACAACTTTCATGTACTATATGCTGCATGTACTTAACCTAAGTGAGTAATCCAGTGCCTCAGAAGTATTCTAATGATCTAAATGAAATTATGCTGTTTTTACCTGTTAATGTAAACATGGATGGTTCAGTGCCCAGGTAAATGTTTGTGTCTGCTGCAGGCTGCTGCTGACTGCTCACTGAAAACACATAGGACTGTTCCACCAAAGACTCATTCTTCACTGATTGGTCAGAGACCGGATTTGCTTTGTTGCGATTCGCCAGAAAACAGGAACTGGGCGATGCCATAAAAGCTGCTTTACTTGCATCTAAACAAATAAACAAATAAAAGATAAACATATAAAATACAAATATAAAACATAGTGTAATGTAAGGTGTGCATGTCTGTCTGTTGTCAGTCTACATCATTACATCTTAAATTGTGAGTTTTACACCACATCTTTGGTTACCTGCATTTTTCATGTATTTGTCAAGGAGATTGCGCAGTTCCTGTTCCTTGTCATTGTTAAACTGAGTTTCCAAAGCCAAAAGGATGTACTCGTCCAGCAACATCCGGATCAGGTGAAAAGAGCCTGAATCAAAGTAACACACAAAAGGTACAATGAATATTTCCTTGTTGTTCTGTTGTAGGCTACAGTAAGCAGTAAAAAGCAGTAAAAAAGTAAAATCTCCAAAGGTTCAGTGTTTCCTTCACATCTTACCAGTCACTTCAATTACCTATTAAACCATTGTTACTTGTTGATCTTAATCCAAATATTAGTCCAACCTCCCGGTGACTGTCCTGGTGTATTGTGTGACCCCTGACCTTTAGGCTGCAGCTCTGTGACCTCTACGTGGTCGTGCTCAGAGGCAGAGTGCCACATGTTCGTGTTTATTCACGTCCACAAAGTGTTTGAGTTTGAGCAGAGAAGCACACGCCACACAGATAAGAGCTGTTTGATCAGGCCTGCACTCCCCATTACAATTTATGGTGCTATTGTGGCAATCTGCTGCTGATACTGGAAGCCCGCCGTTTTATCCAGTTTATTGTGAACACAGTATAATCTTCGAATAGATAACTCAATAAAATGGGTAGAGGAAAATTTGTCATGTTTTGTTTTTTAAACAAAAAGATGTGTCATGTAAATGTATTACATTGCTTCTTACCAAAACTGGAGGCATTATTTAGGGTTAGATTGTGCATCACTCTTGCTCCAAAAAAACTCCACCTCAGTAAAAAGTCCTGAGCTCGTTTCTTCACTGAACGGCCACTCTGTTTACCAGGCTGGGATCAAGAAGAAAACAGCATTAATCAGACAGAAACTTGAGAATAATACTGTAAACACACAGAGTAACTGCTAGCCTGTACCTTGATGACTTTGTGCTCCAAAACAGTGTCTAACCATTCAATGAAAGATTCAACTGTGGCATTTTTCCTCAGCAGCTCTTTAAGCTCATGAAACACACTCACTGAGTCATCTGTACAGAGGAAAGAGTATTGACAATCACAATGATGGTCATGTGACATTTGCTGTAGAAGAAAAGAACTGCATTGATTATTCATATATGACATCTAAGTTAGGCCTCTAAATACTACAGTATATTGGAAATATTATTATTGTGCGTACTTTCTTTTTTTCTTCATAGTTGTGGGGAATTTTTTGTTATTATTTTATAATGCAAAATTTGAAATATAGAGGGTTGATTAAGTAACTTCTACCTTCCTAACAAATTAGGAAGAAAAAAATATTACTGTTATCATAGGCTTAGATAGACTTTTACGTGGTTTTGTTTGCTGTTGTGTTGTGTTCGTTTGTGGTGGTGCCTCACACTCGGAGTAGATCTCTTGGTCCTGGTCGCCTTGGCAGCTGACACTGAGCAGAGGCTGAGAGCTGATGTTATTTAGATCCACACTGTCAATGTCCAATACCATCCCAGTCACCACTGCTTGGTCAAAGAGTGCTGGGCGAGCGATCTGAAGCAGCACAATAAGAGCACTAAGGCTTAGATGTTTTTAAAATGGGATCTAGTTAACATGGAAGTTCTCTGGAGAAGATTATACCTGGGCTAAGTGTAAGAACGAGGTCTGTCTCTTCAAAGATGAGACAAACCGGCGTGCAATGGGCAGCTTTTTTGCCGCAAGACATTCTGGTAGGTTCTCCAGAGAGGACGCTAACCAGTGTTCCCAGTGTTTCGCAAAGTTTCGGATGTCAGCCAATAAACTGTGAGATACAAAAACACTTAAATAAGTATTAACAGATTTTTTACATGCACTATGTAACTTGCTTAAGTTTGTCTCCATATGGTTGTTAATGCTTAGCTTGGAATGTTCTAAAGTACAGACAAAGTTACAGATAAGATAAATATAAATTTCAATGAAAAGGGAAGATTGTTTTTTACCAACCTTTCTGGCATCTCTTGCATTGTGGCAGGAATAAGGACATCTGTTAAAACCTGATAACAAATGAAATTATCATTAACTTTACATTGCAGACAGAGTTTAATTCTCCACTCTTCACTTTGCAACTTGTCTGTACTCAACCTAAATAGATGTTGAAATGGTAGTTTGATCAATTGCCAAAGGTCTAATTTGACTTGTGACTGACCTTGTACAAAATGGAGTCACATACACAGAAAATGTCCACAATGACATCGTTCTCCAGCAGGGGCAGCAGATGGTCGGGCATGCCCTGCCAGAAGTGCAGCAAGAAGTTCTGGATCTAATACAAGGTTTACTTTACTTTGGTTTCACGAGACTTAAAAAACAACAAGAATAATATACAAAATACCTCCTCAAAGTTGACATTAATGGCATTATCCAGGATGCACTGACAGTGAGTTTTATACATCATGATCAGAGTGTCAACCTGCAAAGAAAATCCCAAAAACAACAATTTAATGCTGTTCAGATGTTGTGAATTGAAATGTTTCTGACCTTTTCCCTGGAAATGTTTCCCTGCAGAAGAAGGTGTTGAGCACTGGGAAAATCTGGGAGCAGTGTTCCTGTTTTGGAACTGAGGGAGTACTTCCGAGTGAAACCGCCCTAAATAAAGACAATTTCACTTATTTTTCTTCAGATCATCAACAATGGTTCTCACAACATTTTCAGTGTTTATATTACCTCATTCTTCAGTTTGCTTCCTGAAAATCTGCAAGCAAAAATGGAGAAGTAGAGATTATATATTTTTTTCTTCATAAACTGTGATACAATATTTTAAATTAGTTTAAAATATGGTACAAAACATAGATGAAACGTAGACTCACCTTGTCAAGCCTTTCCCAGAGTACACTGAGTGATAGTAAGCACTGCTCTCCTTAATGCCAATGCCATAGTAGTGATACCTACACAATACTACTATTTAACGACTTTTCTAATATTAACTGATAATAATGTAATAGTTGTAATTGGTACTTGGAGTGTCCTCTTGTGCCCAGACGTCTCGTTGTCAACAGTGGGAACTTCTGCCGAATTGTCTGTTGAGATTGAGAGAACACTTAAAAATATATATATAATCTTTATATCTTAACATTTTTTTTCTCTTCAATTTAAACGTGCACTATGTAAATTTTCGGGTGGGATATGCCCCCTCTTCCTGTTTGTCTTGACCATGATATTGCATTGCTACTGATCTGACATGTAACGTGACTCAGCAGTGTCACCTGTTTGTGTCCATGGAGATAAATACGCTTAATGTCTTATACTGTGTAATTTTCCAGGCCAAGCAATATCATATATGAAGAAAAGGTTGTACTGTACTTTTAACTAATGGACAGTAATAAATTAATAAAACTTATATTATCAAACCCACTTTTCCAAAGGTGGCAGCACAGGCTGGCTCTAGTTTCTCTTTGCGGCAGAAGTCCAGGTAGTGAGCATACAGGATGCAGCGAGGCAGACACACTCCTTCACACACAATGTAATTCTCCTCCAGCCTGCACATCACACAACCATTTAACCACAATAAACCAACAGGAACACAGTGTTCTGAGGTCAGTCGTCCTTAAGTCCATCTGTACCACTCAAATAACCATAATGCATTCAATGACAAACTATTCTGTCTTCCACTTTAGGTCTGAGAAAAGTATTTACTGATTTAACACTCCTATCTGATGATTTGCCTCTACATATGTTCAAAATTATATTTGAAGTGAATGGTTTAAGTGCAACTATACATAAAGGTGCACTTCTTACCATTGCAGAGTGAGATGTGTCTGTTTCTTCTTGTCTTTAATAATTTGGCTGATAGTTTTTCTGGAGGAAACACTCTGCTTTAGGCTCAGGTTGTAGTCCACAATGTCCTGGTCCTCCTCAGATGAAGGGGTCTCGTTACTGTCCTCCTCTTCTGAATCACATGTCAGAACACTATTACCAAGCCATGATAGGGCTGAATAAGAATCTCTTTTCATGAACGCTATAGACTGTATATACTCTACTTCTTTACAAAGTCTATGTATCTTGCCCTGGATGATCATATTTGGATCTCATAGCAATTTTCTCAACAGATTTTCCATTTGCAATATACAGTATACAAATACATATAGTTTCAAAATCAGTTTCCTTTCAAAAATGCTCAGGAGACATTAACATTTGAGATAATACTAAGCTTCAAATGAACTGCTAAAGGAAAATAAAGATTTCTTGTAGGCGCTATTAGATGGAGACAGGATGTCTGTAGACACTGTTCCATCTGAAATGAATTTGCAGTTTTATGCATTTTGGAAAAGTATATACATAGATTTAATTTGCACATATAATAGGCTATAGCTAGAGTTGAATCATGTTAGTTAGAAATTTTTTTTTACCAGATTTAATTTGTGAATCATCCTCCTTGTGAAAGCGCGTTTCATCTGGAGAGCTGCACAAAGGTTGAATGAGGAACAGTCCATCTTTGGTGGAGCAGTCACGTTTCATTGGCATAGTGTCACAATGTAGAAAAACAAGCCACAAGAGAAGAAAAATAACTAAAAGGAAGAAAAGGTAGATGCAGTCCTTTCAACAGAAAACTCATTGGTCCTTAGAAGCTTAACTCCATGAAGACAAATAAAAAATGCCAACCAAATGTAACCTTTTGGTCTGAGCCATGTCCGAAAGATTGTGATCCACCTGCAGAAGGGCTGCAGTGCTGATGAAGCTGAGGCTGGTGTTTGTCATATTTACAGAGCACTGTCCGGGCTAATTCATGTTATTAATGATTAACAGACAACTCCTCATCCATCTGTCCATCCATCCTACCTCCCCCAGTCAGCTGGGCCAGACAAACACATGGAGAGGACTGAGACACACCTGGTAAGTTAAACTCATAGAGAAGCAGTCATTTGTGTGAATTACCCACCTTTTTACAATTATCAACATAAGGCTCAGGTTAGGACTGAGAATATAACCTTCCTATATAAAGAAGGCAATGTTAATAAATATCTTCAACTTATTAAGCTATAACTAGCCTAATTTGTGTCAGATGAATAAAATATAGAAGAAAACTACAGAATAATTATAGGTCTATGTGGTGAACATACGAGGCTTTGAAATTAGGCAGTTTTATTGGTAAGATATAGGGCCTATCAAATGAAGGATTAGAAATTGAATATTAATGTGGGTAACTGGTAATTATAGAAAGAAATGTCACAGGAGAAGACAAAAAGAGCGCCACGCAGCGGTCATGGGCAGGAAGTGAAACTGCACGTGGGTGTCAGAGGCAGACGCTGAGGCCGTAGCTGCGGCATGGAGAGCACAGGGCGGACAGGTGGCCCTTCGTAACACACGTAGAGGTAAGAATAAGAAAAAACGCAGTGCAAGTTTTCGTGCCACGTGTTGTTATTAGAATCCTGTTATATTGATTAAAACTAATTGATGGCGAAAGTCACAATGGGATGTGCAGACCTATTAGCGCTAACGTTAGCTCAAGTTTAGCTTCGTATCTACGACGGAGTATACTGCTCAGATAAAAAAATAAATAAATTATACTGGTGCTACGAGAATAAAGTCGTAACATTTCGACATTAAACGCGTAATTTTAAGAGAATAAAGTCATGATTTTATAAGAAAGATAATAAGATTTTATAAAAGTCGAAGTTAAAATAAAGTCGTAATATGCGCTATGGAGAATTTGGAGCATTTTGTAAAGGAGAAGAATCCGTTTATCATTCGTTCATTCGTTCTTCAAAATAAAACCAAAAAGTAGAAAACGAAAAAACAACTGTTTTCTTCATTATTTGTCTCCAAAACCAAAATGAAAAAACGGATAACGGCCGTTTCCCGTTTACGTGACTTCCGTGACTGCGGTGCTGGACTATTGCGTCACATACGGACTGAACCAAGTCCAGAATCAGACCTGGACTGAGAAACGGGACCAGGACTGGGACTGAGACCGGTATCAGACCAGAACCGAGACCAGGATTGAGACCGGGAACAGGACCGGGTCTGAAACCGGGACCAGACAAGGACCAGACCAGGACTGAAAACGGTTTAGTCTTTGTTTAGTCCTGTTTTAGTTCTGATTCAGACCTGGTTTAGTCAGGATGCGGTGGATCTATTATAAAATCACACTCTACTGTTGTGCGTAATTTCATTCATTTATATTAATGCATGCTAATTTTCATATAAATACTTAACGTTGCAAAGGCTTCATCATTCATACTTTTGTCACAGTTGTGTACAAAAGTCAGTAATCATAGTCTTCATAGTAAACTTGTGTTTTTGTGTAGGTTGCCAACTCGCCAAATATTTCATGGTGATATCTCAAGGCATCACTGCTGTCCATGATGAGTCTGGAATTTAAGTAAGTAGATTATGGGGATGCGCTGATTGAAAATTTGTTTTTGTTTTTATTTATTGTAGTGAGTGCAATTACATTAAAATGTTAAAACAAAATAGTTTGTGTATGGTGGAGTGTGCAAGTGCATACATGTTGATTTGTTAGACCAGTTGAAATGGCATTTTGCTGTACACTTGTCATCCGTAATCTCTTTTTACAGCTTCCTTACCTCAAAAGCAAACACAAAATCACTGGTGACAAATGAAGTGCTGTGTTATGGCAGTTTTTATTGTATAAAACAGAATACCCTGTGTATGTGCGTAATAAAATGTAAAATTATCAGTCAACCACTGAAATAACTGTTTGACCCTTGTGTTTTAATCTAATCTCAAAAATTCACCCTCTTTTTTTCAGATCGCATGGCAGTGTTCCAGTAGGACCTTGTGTCCTTTGGCCTGTGGACCTAATGCTCACTCACCTGAACTGGAACCCAGAAGCCACGCTCATCCACTTCCAAGGCCAGTACCTCACCATCTGTGAACTGGATTACAACATCCTCCAGGGAGAGATCCAAAATGCCCCCAAAGCTCCAGCTGCTGTTGATATAGGAGAGTTTTGTCTTGTTGAAGACCTGACCTCAGCGCGTTGGTACAGAGGACGTGTCCAGAACCTAAAGAAGGACTTGTATGATGTGTTTCTCATTGATCATGGTAACGTACTAAGTGTGGATGAGGCACATATTTCCTCTTGCTCAAATGACCTCTTCATTTTACCCCCTAAAATTGTCTGTGGCTTTCTCTCAAGCGTGCTGCTGCTTCCAGACTCCTGCCACTCGGTTGTAGAGAAGTACTTTGCTAATCTAATTGGAAGAAATGTCACAGGTTACATCCAAGCTTTTCTCCCTCACAAAGTGCTTCTACTGGAAGCCCCAGACATCAACAGCGACCTTGTCCGCCATGGTTTTGGGAGACATGTTGACACCAGTACATTTCTGCTTTTGGTTGAGATGCTGACAGAAGCTCCTTTAAAACAAAACATTGAACCAGCTCCTTATTTACTCATTGAAAAGCAAAGAGGACAAGAGTTCTTAAAACTGACAAGTCTAAAAGGATATGAGAACATCCTGTCATCCTGCAGACCTAAATTGAAATGCGGATCACATGTGACAGTGCGTGTTACAGCTGCCGTTAATCCTGGACTGTTTTACTGCCAAATGGCCGACAAAGAATCAGAGCTCAAGGAGTTATCAAGCAGTCTCGCAGTAGCTTGTGAGTTAAAGGTTAGAGTCAATCAACTGAGAACCCCAGACAATCTTGGCTTGCTCTGTTCTGTCAAAGGTAAAGATGAAAAATGGTACAGAGGTTTAGTCCAGCATCTGCCTGTCAACTCCCTTTACCGCGTGCTGTTTGTTGACTATGGCTACTTTGAATCTGTTAACGTTGAAAATATCCATAAATTGCCACCACATTTCTGCTCTATTCCTGTCATGAGCTTCCCCTGTGCCTTATCCTGCATGAACAGTGAGGAAGAGGCTATCAAAAACAAACAGCTCGGTTTCCTAAAGGCAAGTTTACTTGGAGGAATACTGGAGATTGAGATCAACAACTACAAACCAAAACAACATCTTTACTGCGTCACCATTCTGAAAGCCCTAGAAAGGGTGACTCCAATTCCCATTCAGAAATTTTCCAGCACAGAGTTAACCCGCAATGAGCTGAGCTTACCTCAAAGTGGGCATTTGTATTACGAGACAGTTATGAGCAAAGAACTTGACAAAACGCTTGGAGATGAGGAAATTCAAGTTGGTTCCATCTTTGCTGGCTACGTGGAGCATGTTCAAAACCCCAATCACTTCTGGGTTCGGACTGAAAAACGGAATGACGAGTTTGAAGAAATGATGGAGAAATTGTCCAGACATTTTAGAAGAATAGCACTTGATGAAGACATATTGGAAAACCCAGAGCCAGGGATGCTTTGCTGTGCGGTCTATGAGGAAGACATGCATTATTACAGAGGCGTGGTGGTGGACCTTTTGGAGCATGGGGCAGAGGTGCTCTTCATTGACTTTGGGAATATCGGAAAAGTGCCACACAATTTAATCAAGAAAATACCTGAGGAGTTTGCAGACAAGTCTGCATTTGCTTTGTGCTGTAGCCTCGTCAATGTTGTGCCAATTTACGAGTTTTGGTCTAGCAGTAGCACTGACTCTTTCAGACACCTCGTGTCAAACAAAGTGCTACAAATTCATGTCATCCAGATGAGGAAAAGCAAATGTGATGTTGACCTTTATGATCAGGAATGTAGGAATGATGGCGGCCAAGGCCTGTCAGAGTTTCTCATCTCAACCAACCAAGCATGCTATGGCAAAAACATCTCAAAAGAGTTGATGGGTGGGAGGAAACTATACAGAACTAAACGGAAAGTAACAACACATAATAAACAACCATTACTACAACCAAAGGCAGCCAAAAAGTGGAATGAGGAGGAGGCGTCACTGGAGAAACTTAAAGAACCAGTTAGCATAAAAGTGCTCAACATTAAGCCTGGTTGTGAGTTTGCTGTTCGCTGCGTACTCATAAACACACCCTCAGACTTCTGGTGCCAGCGCCTCGATCAAGTGCCTGCTTTAGAGGCTCTGATGGAAAGACTTCAGGAGCACTATTCAACCAGAACTGTCCCACTTGAACCAGAAACGTCGTGTTGTGTCGTCAAGTTGCCCTTCAATGCAAAATGGTGCCGCGGGATCATCACAGAAAGACAAAATGGCAAAACAAGAGTCATTCTTGTCGACTTTGGTTCAAGCATTCAAGTCACAGAAGATTGTTTACAAGGATTGCTCCCAGAATTCTGTGTTTTGGAAGGGCAGGCTTTTAGATGCAGCCTTTATAATGTGATTGAACCACTAGCACTGGGTTGGACTGGCAATGCCACAGAGTTTCTAAGACAATTTGCTAACAATAGCGGTGCAAACCTTAAATGTAATGTTGTTTCTCAGTTAAATGTAAAAAACAAAGGGTTGTGCAACGTTGTGCATCTTTGCAACACAGAATCCAATCAAAGTGTGTCCAACTTGCTTGTTGAAAACTCTCTTGCACAAGTAGTTACAAGGACTCCATCTCCAACAGTATTCCCTGAATCTTTTGTTTACTCATCTTATGATCTCAGAGAGGGGAGCGAAGAGCAGGTCTTTGTCACCCATGTCCACAGTCATTTTGAGGTCTTTTGCCAACTTGAAAAAAATACATTAGTCTTGGAAGAGATTGATGCCAAAATTTCAGAGGTCCAAAAAGTAAAACAAGCCAATGCAGAAACTGTTGTCGAAAAACTGTGTCTTGCAAAATACCATGACGGCAAGTGGTACAGGGGGATTGCTTACTCAGCTCATCCTCCTTCTCATGTTTGCGTGACATTTGTAGATTATGGAAACACAATGATGACAGAGAAAAAACATGTGATTTTCATCCCAAAAGAGTCAATGGAGCTGTTAAACAAACCAATGCTGGCGTTGAGGTTCAGTCTGGCCGGGGTTCCTCAGGGTATCGTTTTTGCGCAGGTGAGTGAGTGGCTTGATGCTGCGGTTCTCAATAAGCAGGTGAGGGCAGTCATTGTTGCAAAAATGGAAGATGGATCTTTTGGGGTGGAGTTGTTTGATGGGGAAGTTAGTGTCAATGAGAGGCTAAAGGAGCTCATTCACAGCCTTACACCTAAACCAAAAATAGCCATAACCTTCAACATCAGTGGTGGTAAGAAAACCCAAAACACCAGTAAGCGCCAGGGCCAAGCAAAGACATCTCCCACGAAAAACATGCAAAAGAAAAATCTAAATAAATCAAACAAACACAGTCCCAACAAGCGAACTGGGCCAGTGAAATCTCCACAGTCAAAGAAACCAGATGAAGTTACGCAAAGAGCAGAGACATACAACTGGCCCAGCCCTCCAGAACCGCAAACAAAGTCTGCCATCCAACATAACTCCAAGGTACTCCAGATCTCCTGTTTATCTTTAATAAAACTCACTGAAGGCTCAAAGTTAAAATGTTTTGCCTCCCATATTGATTCACTCAGTAGTTTCTTCCTCCAGCGTTCTAGTGATGAAGTAAACATCTTTCAAATGGCAGAAGATCTGAACTCAAGCTCCTTCAGAGAAACTTTAGAGCCATGCACAAACATTTCCCTAAAAGTTGATGATCTGGTTCTCGCAGAGTACGAGGAAGATGGGGCATTGTACCGTGCTGTTGTCAAGCAAAATATAGACTCCTGTACTTTCAAAGTGGAATTTGTTGATTTTGGAAACTCTGCCATAGTGGGGAAAGAAAAGGTGTTTGTAATGGCAAAGGAGTATGTCTCTCAACTGCGATACAGCATACCATGCAGCCTACTGGACAGCTCAGCTTTTAACAATACTGCTGCTTTTGCAAATGCAGTTATGGACAAGCCACTAAGGGTTGAGTTTGTTTGTTACAGGAAGTCTCAATGGGAGGTCAAAGTTGAAATTCTTGATGCAACAGCTCCAGTACCAGTTGAAGCAGCAGCTCCAAAAGAAACCAACACAATTCCTGAAGTGAAAAAAACACAGACAAAACCAAACGCCAAAAAACCTGTAAGGAGAGCCATAAAGAGAAAACCGCCCAAGACAGTAAGCACTATTGAAGTGTCGAAAGATGTTTTCAATGCCTTCTTGCTTCCAAAAATCCAAAGAGGAGACACTGAGATCGGTCTAGTGCTGTCTGTACAGAGCAATGGAGATTTCTATTTCAGGCTTGACAAATCTGGGGACACATTAGCTGCACTGGAGTCACTGATGACTATAAACTTCAAGAACTTTAAACCTATCTTGACAAGTGATGTCAAAAAAGGCCTGAACTGTGTGGTTCAAGAACAAAATGGCGGACCATGCCGTAGGGCTGTTGTCATTAAGGTTTCTCACGATGCTTGTTTGGTGCACCTGTTGGATCATGGGAAAATTGGAACAGCATCAAAAAGCACCCTGCGGCAGATGAAGAACTACATTACAATGATTCCATCATTTGCTGTGCACTGCAGACTGAACATCCAAAGAGGCCGTGCTCAGGACATGCAAATGTGTTATGAAGCAATTAAAGCCATTGAAGGATGTAATGTCAAGCTTGTATTTGTCAGTATATCAGAAAAACAACAACTGTGGTTTGTAGAAATAGTTATGGACGGATTCCTTCTCCAGTATCACAATTCAAATACAGAGAAAAAAAAAACTGAACAGGATTCTGGACAAGGAAATGAGAGCGCGACTGAGCAGGATGAGCAGGACCTCCCTCAGAAACTGGCCTGTGCTCCTGTTACACTGAATAAGGAGTATTGTGGCTTTGCGGCTGCTGTCACCACGCCCTTTGAGTTCTGTGTGGTCTTGGAGGACTTGCACCTCTTGAGTCAAGTCTCCATCCTGTTGGACGACCTTCAACACAAGCTGCAGCCCCTCCCCTCTACCCACCTCATTCCCAGAGCTGGCTGCTTGGTTAAATCTGAATCCAGAAACAAGTGGTGCAGGGCTGAGATCCTCCACGCAGATTCTACTCTCATGGTGAACCTTGTGGACTATGGACACGTCAAATGCTTGTCTTATGTAGACCATTCAAAGCTGAAAAAACTCCCAAAACACATAACAGAGCTGCCTAAAGTGACTTACCCCTGCACCTTGAACATGGTGAGGCCAGCTGGGGCAGATGAACAGTGGAGCAATGAAGCAGCCGTTTTCTTCCAGCAATGTTTGGACCAGAAGAATCTCCAGATATTCTTCAGGGAGGAGGTCTCCGAGTGCCAGTGGAAAGTGGACATCCTGGCCAATGGGGTCCATGTTGCCAAGCAGCTGGTGGACGCAGGACACGCCAGCTACACGGACATTGTGTTGGGACTACGGTATGGTATATTTGATTTTCCTAGAATTAAAGCATATTTAAAATTTCAAATGTTGCTCAATCTGGTAGGGCTGGGTATCATTAAGGAGTTGCCGATACGATACATACCTCGATACACAGGCCACGATACGATACATATCTCGATACAGTGCACTTTCGATTCGATATGATATATTTCAAATCGATTCTATACGGTTCAATAAAAAATAAAGGCTAAATCATGGCTGTGATAATAAAAGGCTTTGTTAAATCACTTCTTGTGCAAAGTTCATATGAAACACAAACATTTTAATCCTCAAAACAGTAAAAATGTCAAATGTGTCGCATAAATGACCTTCCTTTCACTCCACAAGCAACAAAACTGTAGCACTGTAACAAAATAATTTAGTAAAACACACCTAAAAATACTCTTGGTGAAATATCGATACAGTAGCCCACGATATCTATACTGTATCATCACATTAAACGATACGGTATATCAATATTCCGATATTTTTGCACACCCCTACAATCTGGCCACGTAAGATCATAAACCTGTAATTCGTCCCTGGTTTACATACATATGGAGTGAGGAGAATAAAACAATAGAAATGTAAATTGGGACATTTATATCTATAGTTGACAATTAAAGTGGTTATGGGGAGCCTTAAATTAACGACTTAATATAGAATACAGTGAATAATACGGTAAACATCTCATTTATTTTTTATTTACTAAATTAATTGGTTTTAGTTATGTGCACAAAGTATTGTCGTGTTTGTGTCTGACAGGTTTCAGGAGCAGAGCCCTAGACGCAGCCTTTGGCCCCAAAGTGACAAGTGTGATGAAGACCCAGAAATGGAACAGATTTTCAACGTTGACTCGGACTCCAATCTGTGTACGTTTTCCTAAACTACTTTGTTCAGTGTAGAGTTTTTTCTCAGTGATGTTTTGTAGATACTGTATGAAATGATCACAGGCTACACTGAATATCTTTTATGTCTGGTCCATAGACTGTATATATAAATGGACATGGCTAACGCACTATCCGGCATGTTCCAAATAGAAAGTTCGCATTCGGGCTCTTCAGTCACCTTCAGAAATCTATTTTAACCTTTTTATTTCTGTATTTGCAGGTATGACGATGTAAATACTTCTGCTTTCATCATCCAGAAAACTGCAATGTGAGGATGACCCCTCCAACAGTATTTTAGTTTGTAGTAGTTACAAGGGTTTGTTGTTCAGGGTGCTATGTATTTTAAAGGATATTAAGGTCAGTTCACTTTACTTTTAAATGAACCAATTTCATTATTAGATTTTTTGTGTAATGAGTCATTAGTTGACTTATACATGTTAATGGATGTTAGTGTTTTATTTTTGTTATTCAAATGATAAAGTTCTGTAGTAAAGATGAAATATAAAATTTACTTATTTCCTGGGCTCCACTTGGGGGCACTGTTCAACAAGGAACGTTCATCTCGGCTCATAATTGTTCCAAAATCAGGGGTGACTGAAAAAAAATTTATGAACAAAGAAAACATTTTTATTTAACCCAATAAATACATCAAAAAGACAAACTAATCTACAAAAATCATAAGTATTGTAGCTGACAAAGATCCGCAGAGTCTTGCATTGTTGAAAAATCTGTATTTATTAATGATTTACAAAAGGCTAAACATGGAAACCATTTAAATGATTCAGTTCATTTGAAACCTAAGAAGGAACAGTGAGTTGGATGGTTGGTCTGTAGAGTTTGTGTGTGGCCATACAAAAACCTGCTGGAATCACTCCAAACTGCAGAAGAAATACATCAAGTGTTTTTTACTCTTTATTTATGGGAGACACTGGAATCGAGGTGTGAGAAGAGCAGCAGTGGTCAATGTAAAATATATCCTATTACCTCATCTTCAGTCCATTTACAAGTCTCCCTCCATAGCTGGTGTTTCTAACTCAAAAAATAATGTCACAGATTGTTACCACAGTACAAGAGGTCCCAAATAATGGTTTGGATTATGATAAATCACTGGTTTTGTGGACATTTAAATTAAAATTGTGCAAGTTTGCTTTTTTCTCCATGTTTGTAATAAATAAAGCAAACAATAGTGTTTCCCACCATTAATCACAATGTAAGTTAAGGGGAACTCAGAGGTGAAAATTCACACAAGATTACAAATAATAAATCTTTCTCTGGTTTAAAAATCCAAAGGAGAAGACCAGGTTTGGCTTGCTGTTTCAAACGTGTATTAACATTAATTGTATCAAGTGTCTACAGTAGTTAAAAGTGTGTGTGGACCTTGATATTTACATGTTGTGCAGTTTATAGACTGAAAATCTAAAACAAAATACCATGCTACGGAATGAAATAGCAGTGTGTTCACTCACTGAGAATTAAAAAAACAAAAAAAATACAATAATTGGTCTGGAGCTCTCCGGTGGAATTTAAAAAAGAGTGAAAAACAATGATACCAGAAGAAAATTCACAAAATAAAATATCCTAAAATTGTTTCTGGAAGCTTTTAAAAAATTAAAAGAAGAATAAACCTCTCTTTTATTCTATCCCTTGCCCAAGAACCGAACAAAAATATATCCCCTTTGTCATGTGATTTGCAGTTTATCACTAGAGATTCTTTTTTACAGTGCTTGATAATTACTGTATCTTCAACAGACCATAACAAGGGGAATCCTCTTTAAACCATTAGTCTCTTTCTATTGCAACAACAGCTACGTCAAAATGTCCAGTTATTCGTTGATTAAAATAAAAAAATAAGAGCCAAAAAAAACACAAGAACAGACGCTCGCCCAGTGGAAAAAAATGCTAGTGGATTGTCCTGGGACCACCTTAAAAACCAAAGTGGCTGTAGTGGCTGGTTTAAGGTGGAACTAGGGGCCGTGTCCAAGTGCAGGTGGGCGGGGCTACTGCTTGGTGTTGAGCTCGTTCTCCAGCTCCATCAGTTTGCGAGACGCTTTGACCTTGTTGGACACCTCCTTCCCCTGAGAGAAGAGGCGCTGGCGCTCCTTAAAGGTCAGGCTCTCCGGGGCACCGCTGGGGATCGAGTTCTCCTGCTCCTGACTGGAAAAATTAAAATCACAGAAAGATTTTTTTTTTTTTCTTCTTCTTTCATGTCAGTGTTAGTATTAGAATTAAAAAGTACAGTACCTCTTTGTCCATTTGTCCTTAAAGACATCTCCTGATCCTACAAGTCCTGCTGAGTTTCCAGTGTATGAGTTAGATCCTTTACAAAGCAGCAAACACAAGTCAGTACCGCTCAAATTATAAAACACAACTAATCAAAGCTGCTGGGTCCAAACGCCAATTATTAATCCCAATTTAAAAGGAGCACTATGGAACTTCTGCTCGTCTCCACGAAGATGTTATTGCTTAACCTCAAATGTACCTCAGCCTTTACATTTTATGGCCTTAGATTAAGATTAGATTACTGTGGAACAATCCAGGCAAAGAAATGCATCTTCATGGTGACAAGCAGGTGGCAGACGCATTATCAGAAAAGCGACATAGTGCGTCTTTAACATTAACTTTAATTTGTCATTTGGACTTAAGACCCAGCTGCTTGTAAGTTTAATGTTTTCCCCACAGACCAGCCTGAGCAGGAGAGAAAGAAGAAAAGCGTTAGTGTTTTCGAGTGCTAGAAAAGGGGCATTCAAAGCAGAGAAATGGTCTGTGGAAGTCAAAGGGTCCTGGGTCAACCTCACCATCAAACGGAGAGGGTGAGCTCGACCTCTGACCCCGGAAGTTGAGTTAGTCTTTTTTTCTTTTCTTTGTCACTGTGTCATTCCAAACTCTTAAAACCAAAACATTTTATAGAAGCAAATATATATCTGTTCTATGGTATGTTGTTTTAAATTGATAGTGCAACTAAATAGGTTTTGCATTTATTATTTCACAATATTCAAAATGTTGTAAAACTTAGAACTTTAGCTTGTCCTGAGCACTGACCTCAGTTCAGGAATCATTCTCCAAGTTTACAGTAGATACTTATCAAAAATATGGTTAAAATAAAAGTCCTTTTGCATAGTTAGGATTTCACATGTGTTTGATCGCTACTCCATCATTGTGGCCTAAACTCTCATGTTTCAAAGGCAGTGGAGAGCTTGGCTTGGCACAGTTCGGTGGGGGACACAGTGACTGGATGCTACAGCGGGCAGCTCCTCTATCCTGCACCGTGAGCGAGGAGTCCATCCCCAAACCACATAAACACAAGCGGGACAGAACAAAGCAACCACAGCCGCTGGGCTCAAGGCAAAGCCAGTAACATTCCTGTGAGGAGCCAAAAAACACACAAAGTCAAACTTAAGCCACATTCTTTTCTATCAAAGGATCACTGCTGTGTTGAAGGTAATGGGGTTTATACTGTATTCTAATCCCTAGAGAATCATTCACCAATATACTGCTATTTGATATTTAATGGGACAAAAGAGTGCTTCTTGACTCTGTAAAACGTTATAATTATACTTTGTGGATCTACAATGTCAGTCTGTTTGCATTTGCTACACAATTACAGTGGCATTACTAATTTGTTGGTCTGTTGTTACTGTTTATAAAAGTTCCAGGTTAGATGAGCGTGAAGTAGCAGTCAATTGAGGAAAAAAAAAATTTACGTTTTAAATAATTTTTTAAATACCTCAATTTTGAAATGGTCTGCCTTTTTATCAAGTCACTTGTTCATAAAATACAACATTTTAAATGTCATATTATATAACTTATACCAGTTGAATATGGCCCAGAGAACACATTGTGAACATGTGAATAAAAGTACAATAATGCATTTTTTGGGGTCTGGAGTAACTTGAGGAGCTGCCCGTTGTTGACATGAAGCACATTCAAAAACCTTTACATCAGAAAAGCCACAGAGTCAGGCACCGCTCAGGAACCTGACCCTGCCGCAAAGCCTTCTGGGAGCTGTAGTTTAGTCAGATAAGCAGCGTTAGACAGCGACATAGCTAGAGCAGACACAGACATGGACAGGCAACAGACAGGAACACGAAAACAGGCAAAAATTAACATAGACAAAGAGCGAAAATTGGGCCCAGAGAATTACGGGAGCAGCCTGGTTGGGTTAAAGCCGTTACAGTGAGTGCTGCAGCCACAGTGCAGGTCAGGGTATGTTGGATTTGTGACATGCGTCGGGTTGTGGGACAGGGTGGGTGGGGTTAGTGTGGTCTTGCTCTGAGGGACGATGCAGGACTGTCCCGTCAGGAGTGGTGTGATGGTGGGGGGTGTTTGGGCAGCACTTCAGGAAATAAGGAATTTTATGTAGTGTGCAAATACTCTACATGCTCTGTTTGTCTGCGGCTCAGTAAAGGTACTATCTGTAGTAGAACTGTCTTCACATAGAAAGAACTAATTATGTGGTTCCATCTCTTTCAGTTTATACTTACAGTACTATTTTCAGTGTACCAGCACTTGGGGCACATAGAAGTAAAGGTACATTTTTATTAGCAGTTTTTATATTTAAAAAGCATTGTTTTTGTAATACTATTAATGCTACTTGTTAATAACTTTCATAAATTTTATAACTAATTCATTCCCTTTATTTTCCATCTTTGCTTAGGTGTAATGTTATGCTAATGTTTAGTTTTTTTTTTTTTTTTTTTCCATAATAATAGTTTTGCACAGATCATTTTTTAATTCATTTGCAGAGCCACAGACAGAGAGGTGTTACTCAAAGTGCTGACGATGTTGTGGTCTCAATGTAATGTAAAATAATATAATGTAATGTCAGGTGAATATAATATAATAGGTGAATGATCCTGTTGTCCGTGAGTGATGGGCATGGGGGCAAATGGTGTGTCTCTTTCCCTTTAAAGCCAACACCACTAAGCAGAGCCGCGGGGGAGGGGCATGAAGGCAGGGGGCGGGTACTGCACCAGCTGGCCGCACCCACAACCCAAAGCAGCAACCAACCAGACACACAGGAGGCGGCGAGCGACAACACCAACAGTACTACGATTGGCTCAGGTGGCTCTCAATCTCTGGAAGAGGGCGATTATCGGTAACGATTTTCAGGTGTTTCTGATTGGGACAGGTGATTGGTTGTTCTAAAGTGGTTCGGTATAGTAGGTGATTTAAGGAAAACGAAAAGAGATCAAATGACTAAGGGACATGGAGGATTGACATGGAAACAAACAGATACATCTTGATTTGCCTGTAGAGCAAACAAAAATAATTTTGATTTGACAATGAAAAATATGAACAAACAAATATAAAGAAGGGAAATAGAAGGAGGCCACTACTGGAAACACAAGTGTCTAAAAAATGAAGAGTGACTAGAGTGAGGGAGGCCGGAGCAGCAGGGGGCTCTGTGGCTGACTCTGCTCCACGTGTCTACCTTTGAGGCCTCCTGATTGGATGAAGCTGGGTTTGGCAGGAATGGGGGGGCCTGTACTGTTGGAGTTGTTGACTGGCGGCTGGAACGAGCCAGACAGGAAGATGCCATCAGAAAGGGGGCGTGGCTTGCGCGCAGTGGGCGGCGGCTGAGGCTTGTTGTGATTGGGCGTGACGGAGGCCGGGAGGTCGCCGTACGACTTCCTGGTCGCCGACAGCTTGGCCTGACCTGATTGGCCGCCGCCGCTTCCTGCATTAGGGACTTCGTCTTCGTCCTCGTCGTCTGCGTTGGACACGTATTTGGCGGTGTAGAGCGTGTCAGGGGAGGCCACCTGCGTTTTGAGGTAGGAGGTGTTTCTCTGTGGGGGGGGTGGGGGCGTGTTAGTAGACGGGTTGTGCGGGAGGGCGGGGGGTTGGTAGTCCTGGGGCAGCGGGGGCCGATACAGACCGGCCGGCTCGTCCGGCGTCAGCAGCTTTCTCTGGGCCTCATCGTGCTGCCGCCGACGCTCCGCCTCCAACCGAGCGTAGTACTCCTCCTCCTGCCTCCTCTGGGGATGTACAAGCATATGTCAGGCCCGCTCCACTGGGACACTGCTCTCTACTGCTCCCTAGAGCTATGGGAACTACATACCACCACTAATACTACCAGAAATACTACATACTGTACATGCAGCTCTACAAAACAGACAAGTCCCACTCTGCACACACTTTAGACTATAGACTGTTACCCTCTTCTAAATATCACCTTCAACATAATCTCTGATCCTTGTATCCTGGGTTTTATGTGCACCTGTGTAAATCTGTCCACAACACAGCACTGAAGAATACAAGTCCTCAAAATGTAACCGTCCGAATCATACTTGAAACTATACAATACTCAATAGGACAGTTATATGAAGTTCCATCTTCCTTCTACTCTAGGCCTAAAAAACAACCATCATCATCATCAACCACCATCTATCAGTGCAAAACTGGACACCAAGACACTACATTCCGTTCACCTAAATGGTTCATTATCACTACCGTGTGACCCAAACCTCCTGTCCCCATCCCTGAGCCAAACTTCTCCTGGACCCCCCTGTCTCCCACTCGTTGTATGTCATGTTTGTGTATGTTCTATGGTTTTGTGGTGTTTTTAATCACAGCCCACCCTGAGCTCTGAGCCCAGTGTGTTTGGATACTGGGTTTGATTCTGGGCCAGTTGCTTGAGACACCAGACGTCTGAAGTCTCATCTGACTGGCACATTTTTGTGTGTCGCCGAGGTGAAAGGTCATCGTCATGTGGAGAGCCCGCTGTAGTGAGGTTGCTGAATCTGAAGGATCTGAAGGCGTTAGAGGTGTTCGTAGGGTTGACATGAATGGGGTGAAATGTATGAATGTCATTTTTGGTTTTGGGGAGGAGTGGAAGAGGAGGGCAGCATTCTCTAACATATTTAGATTTATTTCAAAGTAATGTTGAATGACGTGATAACAGAACACAAACGAAACACTAAAATATGAACCGAACAAACCTCACCAAAGAAAACTGAAAATAACTGACATACACTGACTATAACGACATCGACACAGTGGGGTCCCATGCTCACAGACGGGAGGGGCACGACACAGGACACTGGTGCACAGATGGGACATGCAACTGGACAATTTCACACAAATACATCACGTAATCACAGTACAGTTGAATATTCTATCACACAATATATATAAATTTACAATAATACAGATTGTCAGAGTTTTAAATAGCCATTGGTCTGATTGGTTCACAGGACAAATGCACCACAACAGAAATAACCGAGACTGAACATGTTAAAGATGGATGGATGTCAAATGACCAGACCAGTGGATATTTAAAAACATCTGCACTGAAATCATCACTATTTTACCACTTAAAATTATTATACTATATTAAAGGTGCACTGTGTAACTTTTCTGATCAGAGGTCAGATCAACTGACTAACTTGTAAAATGTTACTGCTTTGGCTGGAATGTTTCACAGTATAGTATTAAATGTACAAGCGTTTGTATTTTATTGCTAGAAAATATCTTGAAAAATATGCATTCTTACAGATCTGAAGTGTAATTTGACTTCGTAGTGTCATTCTGCTTTTCTTTACTGAGGTAAATTTAATTCTATACTGTGGAACATACCTGTTAAAACAAAAGCATCACCATGGAGACAATCTTGTTGCAATCCCCCCACCAAAAAAGTGACACAGTGCCCCTTTAATTACTTTCTTTCTGCTACTTGCATGACTAAAAGCTAACTCTGTAACATTTATTATTCTAACAAAGATTAATGTACATAAAAGTTTTTAACAGTAAAAAATTGTAGTTACACTTGTCTCGAGACACTATGTTCACTGACCTTTTCGTCCGCCTCCCTTTTGTTCCTCTCCTCCTCTCTCCACCGCCGCTCTTCCTCCTGTTTGGCCCGCTCCTCTGCCTCTCGTTTACGGATCTCCTCCAGCTGCTGCTTACGTCTCCGCTCCTCGTCCTGCAACTGTCCGCACAAAAGCCACATAGCACAAGGCAGTGATGTCAGATATTGACCAGTGCCGTCACGGTTTAACAATGAGTAATGTCAAAGTTATGAGTTTTCAATCCACATCGAGTGACTGTCAAAACTGCTCAACGTCCACTACATGTTTGCAATGTGAAATACGCTGGGTTTGTTTCAAAAATACAGGAGCACTGCGCAACTCAAGCATGCGACAGCAACATGCAACAAATGATAAAAACTGAAAAAAATAAAAAAAATACAGGTTTCAGGCACGCAAGGGTAGGTCTTTGTCCACAGCCCCACAAAAAATAAAAATGCACTCAAAGGCGGCAGCAGGCAGAACATAACAGAACAGTCCCAAACTATAAGAAAAACAGGAATTTGGTGATATCAAACAAACTCTTTCTCTTTGGTCAGTCCACCGCAGAGCAAACTAAAGAATTCCACCAATAAAGATGGAGCCGCAGTCTGTCCAGTCCTTGACCACGGCGTGCATAACTCTGTTTTTCTTTCAAAGGCCAAACAGAGGGAGTATTTACTAGACTGCACTTTTGTTTGTATTATGAGGAATTTGGCTGCACTATGGAGGTGTGGATAGATAAAACTAAGCCAATAGTAGACCCTGTGTACTTGTATTGTTACAGCTCTTTTCTTTTCATAACATTACTCCACAAGGGTTAAGAACTATCTATTAGCCAAGTGTTTGCCACAGCAGCAGCCACACAGTCATTGTAATTCATTGTAGTGTATTTGAATGTTGTTTGGATTCAACATGAGGACAGCTGACTCATGTCTGTAGGTGGAAGGCTTTTGTGCCTGGGATGAACTGGACCTAAATAGAAGACTTCTTTCACAGAGCTCAGCACAGACACACACGGCTGATGGTATGTCATGCATGGATCTGAACATGGCCGCCCTATGATGCGTTAGCCATGCAGGCGTCCTCCCTGTGAGCCACTCAAAGCAGTTTAAACAGAACATATCATCTTTATTGCACAGGTGTTTTGAGTGGACAGAGAGAAGGACAGCGTCAGCCCCACCACATCCAATCACAGCACAGCGCTCCTCTGGCCAAAGCCACGCCCCCAATGAAACAGACAATAGTTAAATGGGAGAGTGATAGATCGGTGGCAGCTCAGAAGACTGAGCGGGACAGGGAGGAAACCCATCATCAACAGGAAGAACATACCAAGTCTAGAACAGAGATAGCTGGGACAGCAGTCTGCTGCTGAAGAACGACAAGAGAACAAGAGTGAGAGGGGAGGCCATAGGGCAAACCAGGAAACAGAGTGGAGCTATTATTTACCAGAAAGATGGAGGGAGAGAGGAAAAAGGAGAGGAAACATTACTCAAATGGGTTTAAGTTTTTGTCAATAGGGATTTTTCGGGCTCGTGTCTCTCTATACTGCTCCACAAAACCAGAGTCATCCACTTGAAGGCTGAGGAGTTTACACTTAGGAGGAGTAAAATGGCAATTAAGTGTGTGTGTGTGTTCTTTTTATGTTCGTATTAAAAGCTCTTGTATTAGTAGTTATTAGACAAAATAAAACGTAACTGAAGGTTTATTTATCTGTTAATGGAGATACTAAACTTATTCTTTATCTGAGTATGCAAATTTGCCCATTATTATCATCCTACTTGTAAGATAACTTTAAAGTATCCACATGCAGAAAGGCTCCTAAACTTTGGTTTTGTGAAGCAGGATATGTGAGTATTAGTTGTTAGTATCTATCTTTTAGAGTATGGAAAGTTTGTCCAAATTACACCCTTTCTCGTATAGCAGTCACATGAAAATACCTGAAAGAGGCCACTTAAATGAACAATTGAATGTCTTGATAACTTTTCATTTAACATTTCAAAATATATTTACATTATTATCCAATGGCACCTGGGAGATTAAATGTAATTACAGGGAACTATAGATAATAAGAAAAGTAACCAAACACCTTTCTAATCTTCAGGATGCTCATCATGTTGAAACGTGACCAGGAACTTAAAGAGCAACACAACAGTAATGCTGCATTTGCACCACAACAGATGAGTTTCATTTTGACCAACTCAAGATTTCTTCTTTTGAATTTCTCTTTCACAGAAAACTCGATCTGTAGAGTCATCCTCAGATCTCTGTATGATGTGAATGCAGCATTAGCACATCCTGCCCTCCCATCCACCCACAGCCAATCAGATTTAAGCAGCTCGCATGGCAAAGCAATGACAGAAGCATGTTGCAGATGCACATTGCAGGACATTCATAGTGGGAGCTCTCTCCATTTAAAAGAGGGCTCTGTCTTTGCCTAAGGATCAGTGTGTGTGAAACAGATCCAACACATGTTGAGTTCAACTATGTCCTTGTTCAGACCAGGCCAGATTAAGAGACTAGGCTTCTGTTTTATTGGTTTTATCTTTACCAAACTTATTTCAATCAGTCTGAACTTACTGAATACAAGTCTTGCTTTGACCCAGTGTTAATGCTAAGTCTGAACAAGTTTGATTTAACAGACAACCTCATTTGAGCGCATATTTTACCTCTGTGTTCCCTGTGCCACGTGTCCTTACCCTGGCTCTCTTCTCAGCCTCTAGTCTCTGCATAATCAGCATTGTGTCCACGTCTTCATCGTCCTCCTCTTCCTCATCTTCGTCGCTCTGTTTGGATTCCTGCAGACGCTTCTGGAACTGCCATTCCAGCATCAGCTTCCTCAGGCGGTCGCTCTCCTCCGCCGTCCGCTCGGGTTTGGCCTGAAACAGCACAGCTCCTCTATAAATAACACTATCCACCCAATAACTGTATATTTTATAATGGCATTTTATTTATAGTTTGGTGAAATTAATACAGTTATGGCTGATTTCTTTCACCTATTTAGAAACTGTACGAATGTGAGAGGAATATTATTAAAAAAGAAAGTACCTTTACTTCTACAAATTAAAAGACGTGCATATAGCCCCTTCAAACTTTTACTTAATAATTTTGAGTGCTTATTGAGAAACTGAGAAGCAGTAAACATCACCATCCACTAAGATTTTACTATATAGCATCAGCTATATTGTGTATACTATAATGTTTACAGTCTCTGTATTTTACAGTATTTTCTTCCAGTATCCTTTTGTCCTACCTGTAGCTCCTGGATCTCCTTGTCCAGCAGGTCGACAATGTGCAGTTGCTGTTGTTTTTCGGCCTTCTCACGGGCATCCCTCTTCCAGGGGTCAGGAGACAGACTGTCACTGGACAGCTCCTCTTTACTGATGGTGATATACTGCAGGTCCCTCCGCTCGATGGTGCGAGGCTGCTGTTGCGGGAGGAGCTCTCGGATCACTGTGTCCATGCCTGAAGACAAACAGGACTACAATAAGCAACTGCTGGCTATTAAACCAGGATTCATTTTGTTCGCTAATATATATCATATATACACATATATATATATATATGATGTTAATGAGAACTGAAACTACGAGAAAATCTTTTTTTTATTAGCACTAAATCAACTTTTTTGCTACTAAATTGTGTATAGGTATTTGTCTAGCACTGTCTACAGTTCTTAGTCATTTTTTAGTGTTTTAGTGCAAACTATGGAAGTTTGCAGCTTCGTGGTCAAAAATTTATAAACATGGGTGTGTCTCGGCTCCAATGGCCTCTGCAATTTCAGGTACTTGGTGACACCACAAAAGACTACCCTGTTTAAAGCCAGATGTTTCAGTTTACAAAAACCTGGCTGCGGAGGCGGAGTTAATACAATTAAAATTAACTGAATTAAAACGAAATAAACAAAACGACGAGTGGAGACAAGCCCCAAACCCCCAGTAAAAACAGTCTGAGTATAATTTATTCAATCAAAGAGTTCCAAACCACTAAAGCCTTAAAGATAAAAGACTTCTTACCGTTACCAGGATTGGGGCCAGAGGCAGGTGGAGGGACAGCTGACCGCGGCAGACTGGAAAGTTTCTCTGGCCGGGCTGGGGGAGGCGGCTGGGGTTGTGGAGGCAGATAGGGCTGGGGCGGGGCCACAGAGGCTATGGGGGGCTGGTGGTGAGGGAGGGGCATAGAGCCGCCATTGTTGTGCGGCTGGACGGGCATCACCGGATTGGCCCGGATCTGAACCAGCTTCCTCTCCTGCTCCCGTCTCTTTCTCTCCCTGAATGAACATCAGGAGTTAAACATGAGTGAACCATGATAAACTAGACACTAAAGGTGCAATATGCATCTTTTCTGGTCAAAGCAATAAACTTGTTGTCTCCATCGTTATTGCTTTGGCTGAAGTTTATCAAAAATGTCATTCAACTTATCTTATCTCCTTATCTCCAAGGAAACAAGCAAGAGATACAACTGTGGAGAGCAGGGCCCGGTCACACTAAGAATGCTCTGTTAGAATTTTGAGTAATAAAAACACTCTTACTAAATGGAAGGTAATGCTATACTATGAAAAAATTTAGGCAAAGTGATTCAATTTCTACGGAGACAAGCCCTCCACCAGAAAAGTTACATAGTGCCCATTTAAATACTACCATAATAACCAATATGACTTCATTCTGAGTTATATTTAGGCTTGGTGCTAGTGTATTGGTCAGTATGTAGAAGTATAATGCAGATACACACAATGAAATGCTTTGGCAGAACAAGTGCTCTTCTGTAGAGCTCATATGAGAGTATTTCAAAGAGGGCTCTGTAGATGTGATGAGCATTTCCTGAGGTTTGGCCTTTCTGCATGCATGACCCGTGAGACCATAGACTTCTTCAGTACGACCCACTACCAGCTGCCTGAGTCACATTTGAACTTCATTTCTCATTTCCATCCATATCTGTCATTCATTATTGGCCCCAGTGACCTACATGTCCTTTACATTTCTCATATCTTTCTTTTATTTGACTTCATAACTCCATCCAGGCAGCGTCTCTTTCTTTCATGATAAAAAATAAGTTTCCTTTTGCGTAAGTCACTTTTTGAGAAGTTGGACCAATAAATGAAAAGGTTGGCTGTTTGATCCAAACTCCAGTGCTGCATCCTATAGTTGTGCTCTTGGGCAAGACACTTGTCCTGTCCTGCCTCCTTCTCTTGTTTGTGAATGCAAATGTGGGATAACAAATGGAAAGTAATTTTTGATAAAATTTTTGTGTGTTTACATGCAGTTTTCACAGTTTTAGAATGAATTTAGTGTCTGATTTTCGATACTTTTGACAAACCTACTAAGTGAACACATGAACAGCACACAACAACCTCACCTCTCCTCCTCTAGTCTGGCCTTCTCCTTCTCGTACCACCTCTGCTGCTCCTCTCGCTTCTTTCTGTCTGCTGCCTGTTGGGCTGTCACAGACCCAACGCCGCTGGGTGGAGGGGGCAGAGGGAGCTCGTTCTGGGGCTCGTAGGGGTCAAAGGGGTCGGGGTAGGCTGTGGGAGGAGGGGGAGGTGGAGGGGGCAGGTCTGAGCGGGACGGGGGCTGAGCGGGGTGCGGTGGTACGGCGTGAGGCGTGTTGGGAGTTTTCCATCGGCCTGGGCCCGTTTTCTGATTGCCACTTTTATTTGAGGAACTAGACGCAGCGGAAAAGTTGAGGTGCTCCTGACTGGAAGTGGACGATTCTAATGAAGAGGGGATTTGGGGTTGGGGCGCCCACATTTCAGGGCCTCCTGTTGAGATGTATACACAAATAAGTATAACAAAACATTATTTTGCAATAAAAACATGAATTAGATGACTTAGGTCCAGTAACCTTTTCAACATTGTAATCATATTATGTTCCATAATCTAAAACAGAAGTCAATTACAGTAAAGTGGCCAGAGTGAAAATTGGATTGACGTTAATTAGAGGGATTGTGCAATAACAGAGTCTTACCTCCAGGGGGCGGTCTCTGGTAATCCATTTCCCTGTGCTGGTAGTCCATGTGAGGGTAGTCCTGGTGATAGTGTGGCTGCATGTCTGGTCTCATGCCTCCTGGTGGGGGGTACAGGTCCTCCTGTGAGTGGTTCACCCGCTGGGAAACATTAAGAGGAGGAAATTAAGACATAATGGTCTACTTAGTAAATATTTGAGTTAGTTTTGCAGTTCTTATCTCAATAAAAACGGTCACTTCTTTACCTGCATACTGTTGTGTATATTGTCTCCCATAGGCAGTCTTTCCCTGTCGTCCATGCCTTGCCAGTGCTGTGGAGGCCCTTGTCCTGGAGGTACCACCCGGTCCTGGCTTTTGGAGGCTGGGATGGTGAAGTATTCTCTGGGATAGGTCTGTGTGGGGATGGGGTACGCCTCAGGACGGGGTGGTGAAGGCTCATCCTGAACACAAGACCACAGCGTCACTGTGTGAAACTTCAAATATAAAAGTGCCAGACACCAAACACATTGTCAGAGTTTGATGAAAGATGAATTCTCCAGCGGGTTCGAAATACAATGTGGTATTGTCACTTTGCTGCTATAGATGCTTTGGGACATTCCTCATTAAGATGATATTGGGTTGAGATATAATTACTCACGTCTGCACACAGGTTTCCAGTGGACACAGACGTGATCTTAGTGCCAGGTCCTCCTGGGTAAACAGCTTTGCCTGCAGGACTCTGGCCCTGGTCTGGAAAATAAAGAGAAAGTTTGATTTATGAGAATTGTTTGGTTACATTTTTACAAACTAAATGAAAAAAACAAATACTGAAAACAAATGTCATGTTTTTAGAAGATGAAAATAGAAGACAGAAATCATAAACAGAAAAAGAACTCAGAGTGGGTGTACGTACTGGCCACGTTGGGGCTGGAGCGGTGGTCGGCCCGGTTTTTGAGCAGACGTTCCTCCCCGCTCATCTTCTTTGGTTCTGGGTACGAGTCCCAGGCTCCCTGGGGGCTCTCTGGAGACCCGTTCTGCACCGAGTTATTGTACAACTCAAACCCTTCACTCTTTGGTCGCATTTTACCATTTTTCTCACGCCCTCGGTCTGATGCTGGAAAGAACATTTCAGTTGTTAAACATTTGGCAATAGTAATACTTGTATAATGTTGTTGGAGTTGGTCTTTACATTCTGAAATAGACAGTTTGCTTAATTCGTATCAGCAAGTATGACTTTTAGGGCATTTCTCAACACCTGTATAGTTTCTAAACTTTAAATGATTTAGTCAAGAATAATCATAAGAAAGGTTTACAACTCAAAATCTTCACTCTCTTTATTTCTAAAAGATCCAGTTCTTTTTCCTCTGACCTATCCTAACCCTCTTAAGGCTGGCCATGCCATTGAGAAAATAACATTTAAACATCTGTTGGCTTTTTCCAGCTCACTCGGAGTTTCCTGACCGAGCAGCCGTCCTTTACTGCCCACAGTTAAACTTCAGTATCTGTGGTTTTACTGGCGCGGGCCTTCAGCGTCACTGTGGACTGGACTTCCTTAATGGATGCCGGGTCACATACCAGGACACAAAGCCCAACTCAGACCCAGACGGCTGCTCACTGTAGCCAGTAAAGACACAGCTGGACCAGCGCACACAACACTCATTATGCACCGGTCTGCAGCAGCTTCTGTCCACTTCTCCTCTTACAGGCTGCAGGCTATTAGGGAACTCACAGTACCCCATTCATCTATTCATTTGTCTAATCAGAGTCGGGAATATATTCTTCTCAAGTGCTGAATCAATTCATTACTTATTCCTTACTTGGAGTTTTTTTCCTCACATTTTGGTGCTGGCAAAAAACACTTGGTGCAAAAACAATAAGCTTATCCTAAGAATTGTTGATCTTTTTCCGTAAATTAACAAATGTCTGTTCAGTCATCGTAAGTCAGTTGGCTCCACTTAACCACATTTCTCATTATTTCTCTTTAATGGAACTATTTTATATTTCACTATGTTCTGGTCTATGTTGTTTCCTCATTCCAAACATACCTGGAGATGTGTATTCTTTCGTTCACACATGTTTAACACACAAACCCCGCATATTTAGGCTGAGTTCTTCTCTCAAACAGAAAATACTCTGTTCCACCTTGTGATGGCATGTGGTAATAAAAAAATATCAGCTCTGGAATTGCCAGTCTCTACTGAACTAAAGGTAAAAGGTAGCTGTTAACTACCGCTTCATGACAACACAAGGTGGAACAGAGCATTTTGAGCTTTAGAGATGTAGACAGAGTATTACTTAAAACATGTGTGACTGAAACAAAACACAACTCTAGGTATGTTTTTGATGAGGACACAACATTATAACATGGCTCAAAGCTCAATTTTGTGTAATAATATAACCTATTCTCTTCAATCATGACTCCTATTTTCACTTTTATAGAGTATATTCACTATCACTACCCTTCTGTACATGTCTAAACCTGTACACTCTCTTAAAGTCTCAACGGCTATTGCTGTAATGAAATCCTATATGGTTTTGTGTTGTGGCCTCACCTCTCTGCATCATTGGGCTGGGCTGGTTGAGCAGAGTGGCCAGTCCGTGGTAAATGGCTCCTTGTTTGGCCACTTCCAGGGTCACCACTGAACCGGTCCTGGTCATCAGCTCTGCCGCCCTGCACCATAACAACACAGGCAAAGTTAGGTCAGGCAAAATATTAATCAGTCCAGATGTATAATTCAATTGTGTTTTATCCAATTACAAACAAAACAAAAAATAGCTTTCAATGTTAATTTCCTGATCTTAAACAATAAAGACTTTTAAATCAGTACCATTTACCAAAAGAATTTGGGAAATTTCTTCATCCAAAGTCTGAACTCTAAACCACATGCTTTTGTTGACATAGGATTGGCTGTAGACCTTTTGATTAAAATGACCCAAACTGACCACTAATGATTATAAATGACAGAATCTTGATCTCACTTGAAATTTCATGAACTGTACAGGGCTAGATCAGGAAGATTTCTATTTGACTTACGGAACATGTACAATAGTTCATTAAAATGGTACAGTCTATAGTCACTATAGTCTTTATTTTGTTGTTCTTTCTACATCAAAAATGACTTCCAGCACTAATTGCCTGTGGTTTGAGTAATAGCCAAACACTAATGAGATTTCCGTGTAGTCGCATGCTAACCGTCAGAAAACTAAAGAGAAAGGCTCTAATTTGAACCAGAGAAGGTAGGATTATATTTGTCATTGCCAGAAGCTCTTTGGTCTAATTTAGGCTCAGACCTGCTGCGTCACACACACTACACATGTTCTCTAAACCACATGTGCTTCTGTGCTGGACCAGAAATAGTACAAGCAGAGATCACACTCTCGTGTGTTTGATGGAAGTGTTAGAAAGAGCGGATTGCATTACACATGGAAACAAAATCACTTTATTTTAAACTTTTGAGAGAGAAAATGAATTTTAATTAGAGAGGTTGTTACTTCTCACGTAAGGATCATATGATTCAGGAGTTGATTTTTCAACAAATTTGCATAAAACTCCAGTTTCCCCCACCAACTCAAAACATGCACAACAGGAAAAATCCTCCAGCTCCACCAAGATGAGCAACAAGATCACAGAGGATGATGGCTGATCTCTGTGTTGTGGTGCTCACTGTTCCAGCAAAGATGTCAGAATGGCATTGAAGGATGGGTCAAAATCAGAGGACAAATTTCCTTAACCTTAATCTTAAACCTTTCTATTTTTATATAAAGCCATATTGACCAACTTTTTTAAACTCATAAATAAGACAAATAATTTCTCCCTCAGAAATGCATTGCAAAAGAAGACCTCATGAAAAATCAGACAGCTATACATATTTGATCTATTTTACACTCTTAAGCCATAACCATGTGACACTTTAGGATGAGAGTTGATTTGCTGTCAAGGCTGGTCCAGCCTGCTTCACCTGTTTTTTTCCACTTTCTGAAAAAACTCTGCTAGTGGCCAGAGTAAGCATGCATACTAGCAATGTGCCAAAGGGTTTGCGAGAGCTAGGAACAAGTTAGATAAATTTTAAAATATCTACCCCCCAATTTCATGGTTTGATAATCATCCTCCCTAGCTTCTAATATATATACCAGACTTACTATTTACTAAAGACTGTTCAAAACTGTATGTATTAATCAATACATACTCTGAAAATACTCATTTAGTAACTACATTAATCTAGTAAAACAACAAAATTACACAATATGAAATCTAAAACTTAAACACATGTCTTAAACAGAAGCCAGAACACTCAAGTAAAACTTCTGATCTCCGTCGGTTGCAGCCTCTGAGCCTCTGCCCTGCTGTTCCCTAAACACACACACACCCTGACTTCTTGTGTTGCCTTTAAAGATTCTTTGGAAATATTTCTTTTGGGCCAAACGGGCTGCAGCTGCTCTGTTAAACCGCCCTCAAGATGTCGAAACTCTGAGGTTCCTTAAATGTCACACCAACTTGATCCCTCTAAAGTGTTTTAAGTCGCAAACCCACACACATCATCACAACCAGAACTGCGTCAATACTGCGCGGTGGGCACAGTCAGAAGAAAAATGCCATGTTTGTTTCCACTAGAGGGATTAACGAGTGTATGACTTCAGTGGCTAATTATAATTTACACTTTTAGCCGGGGATTTCCAACCGTAAACATCACCTAACTAGGGCTTTAGGTGACCAGATTTTGAGGAGATTTGACCGGTTTACCTTTCTTGGGAGAGACCAACGAGACTGCGTCCGTCAACGCTCAGCAGTTGGTCACCTGCTGCCAACCGGCCGTCCTAAACAAAGTAAAACAGGACACATGAGTCACAGAGATGCTATTATTGTTATTTCAAATATTTATGTCAGTTTGGCTCACCATATCGGCCGCTCCTCCTTTGACCACGGACTTGATGTAGATCCCCAGTTTCTCCTGACCAGCACCCTGTAATACACAAGGAACATATAAATTTATTTAGAATTTTTGAGTTTAAATTGGTGGATCAAAATGGCAAAACGCATTTGAATACAAAAACATTACTGAGTTGTTTCGAAAATATTTTGAAAAGGTGCAGCAAATGTATTCAATTAACCATTTCTGATCACCTGCTTGTGCGTTTGTGTTTAGAAAGTACACCAAAATGTAGGCAAATTTATACTACTATATCAGCCCATTATGTTAGTAGACAATAAATTAAATTGTAGGGACACAAGAACATATGTAAAGATTTGATGTATTGTTTAAAATTTATCTTCCAAAAACGATCTGTTAAAACAATCAAACCTATCTCTATCTTCCATATTTACATTAAGCAACTTCCTTTCACTTAAACCAGCAAAACAAAGATGACAGATTCAGACAACCGCAGCTCCTATGCAGTTCCTGTGTAGTGGTTTGGAAGGTTTACAGACAGTGCCTTAAACAAAGTGCTGGCTCCTTATCACACGGATCAGACCCTTTCTCTCATCTCAGGTGTTTACATTGACTTTGTTCAGCATAAACCAGAAGATAATCTAGAAACGTTTCTTTGTTAAAACACTCCACAACGTTTAGCACACACACTAGACTGAGAAGAAATTGTGTTTAGATGAATCGGGACAACTTAGTTTATTCCACTACAGTTACTGTTTATAAACCAACACTGACTAATGGCGTAAAGTAAACTCTGGAAAATAATATGCATGCATTTACTACACATTTATTTTTATTTTTTATGCATAAAATAAACTTCATCAAGTCAGTCCCATTCATCATATTCAGATGCAAAGATGCACACACCTACACATAAATCAAAGTCAGTCTATAAAATCAGTCATAAACCCATGAACAGGATTAAACACCACTTTAAATGCTGCCGTTTGTCAGATCTGGCAACGTGGCTCTTGGCATGAGTTTGTAAAGTAGCAAGGGGGTCACGCTGGGGTCACAGAGGGGTTAATAACTTCTGCGTTTGCTGTTGCATTTTGGAATTGGTCTATCGTCTACTGTGTGCAAATAGAGTGGAGAAATAAGTATGTCTCTGCAGCAATCGTAACTTATCAATGCTAAAACCAACAAATTCCTTATAAATGGTAAAATTATAGTTACTCAAGTTAAGATATTCAAAAGGTATCATGCATTGAGTTTTATATTGTTGTACATTTTAATTCTCAATAGTGTTTTGTTGCGTGTAACAGAAGAATCTTGTTTACCACATAAATTAGACTCTGCATCTTCCTGCAGCAGGAAACACCTCTGAATGATGAGAAGTGAAAATCAGTTCAAAGTATTGGGCAACAATGAGACTGAGGAACCTCACATAAATAAATGCTTCACATTCTTTCAATCGTTTTTCAATAGTATTGTGTAGCAAGTTGAGTATCTGGCAGGTTTTCATTATGTCGAGCTACAAATCGTTTAGTTTAACTGTATGAATGTCGCTAATCAAAGTTCAGCAATGTCCAAACGGTGGAAAAAGTTAAGGAAAACAATTACTCTCACATTAATATTGAAACTACTTCTAAGACGCACTCATTAGCCTTGTACTAAAGCTTAAAATTCACAATATCATACACAGCACAACTTTGCAGCCAACTTCTTACCCTCCCATAAACTGAGCCTTGCAACAGTTACCCACAATGCCTTTCTTCTGTCAGTATTGCATGTGGATACAATAATAAGAGCAGTCTCTCGGTGTGAGTGTTGCAAAGTGACATTTAAAGGAGAAGACAGCTCTGTGAATCAAGTGCACTGTTTGTGGGACATTACAGTACATCTTCTGTGTGAAGTGGAGCTTAGGTCTGATCTAGAGACGGGACGGGCGCCACCAAAAAACAGTCAAACAAAAAGGGATTCCCTCTAGGGCCTGCAGAAAAGCTCCAGCTAATTCAAGGGATCACACAATATCTAGCCCAACAAAATAATATCATTGTGTATTGTCTTGAAATGTCAGAGAACTATTTTTGACTTGTACTAGTCTTTCCCGTACTTCTATGTAGGTCAATCTGTTAGGTGAAGATAAAATATATAAAATATGTATTATTAAAAATGTATTATCATCAGCAGTTGATCTAAACATGTAAAAGCTCATTTGAAGGCTAAAATATTCTTACAAATACATGCATGTAAAATAAAATGTATTTTGTCACTGGATATGAAGACTATAACTTTGTTCTTATTCATACAAGACAAAAATCTATATAAATTGTTTGAATGGAGGATTGAATGTCTGTTTCGAGGTCTCGTCTTCAGGGATCTTTGCAGAACTCCTTACAACAAAACTGTTTAACTCACTGCAAAGATGGCCATAAATAGTCACATCATTACCCTTTGACTTTGAACCTGCCCACCAAGAAAAACTTCAACCTTCAATCAGCAGTTGTCACGATTTTACAACATTATGTAAATTGTTAACTTGCATTCTTAAAAAGTTATTTTAACATCTTTCTTCCACATATATATCAAATGTGTAACCCATAGTGAAGCCTTCCTGTCTGCTGAAACAAGCAGATGTAGGCCAAAGTGGATCCAGATGCCATGTTTTTCATTATTTCTCATCTTGGGCAAAATTGTCCATAATGCAGCCACCTTAAGACTCCATGTCCCTGTACATGTTATGAGTGAACGTAACCATAAGCTGTGTGCATAGTGCATGCGTGGAACACAGTAGACAAATCAATAGTAATATCTCGAACATCTGAGGTAGCTTTCATGTGATTTAGTGCTTTTCAGAGATTTGTAGTGGAGCCTGCAGGCCTGTGTACACTCACCTATGGGGCTTTATTATAGGCAGGGGGACCTGAAGGGGTCTTTACAAGTGGAATTTAAAGACTAGTGCTTTAGCGATTGGTGCATGGAAAATGCATGAGGGTGCATTTTGACCTGTGTACAGATACACATTATTAGAAAAACATGATTTCCACAATAACTAAAGCAGACTTTGGCTTTCACTGTGTCCCTGGTATGGCTGGATAAACAGGAGCACGCCAAGGTCCCTTTTACTTCTAATCTAATACTTCTAATAAAACATCATGTGGCAATCTAGTACTACAAATATAATACAGTGTAAATCAAATACATAATTAGTTTGATGATTTAATTTGTTTTTAATTTGAAATATTGCTGAAACAAATTAAAATTGTGTATATTTGTCTTATTGATAGAGTTTTGAGTTAATACACTGATTAAAACATTTTGACAGGGAAAAACCCAACTATAAACTCTTGCATTACTAATAATGTTGCCATAGTGCTAAACTGATGATAATGCATCATGGAGGAGGAACGCCCGTCTAATACTGAACCCTCTTCATTCACACACAGATGCAGAATGTAGCAGAATAAGCACTTGGATAAAGTCTCTCTCTTTGAAGTAAATACTTTCAGAGAAGTCAGCCACAACTTCTTTGATATTTAACACAGTGTTGACAAGACCAACGTGCACCACGCATGACACAGAGCTCACTGATGCCAACGAAAAGTGAAAAACAACATTCCATTATTGAAAAAAAAAAAAATAAAAAAAAAACTGTTTCCTTTTCAAATTCTTGCAATCTCTTTGCATATTTTGAAACATTAATTCTCTTGCCAATTGTCAAAGCACTTTAAGTCACATCAGTCTCTCAAAAGCCACATCTGCAAAACATCTGCTTAAATACAATAAACTAAGAAGCGATTGCCTCACTTACAAACATTATAAATTATGGAAAAGGTCCTTGAATGTCACAATTTGGACATCACACTGATTATGCTGCGGACTAAACAGCATTAAAATGATTGGAGACACTGAAGTATAAATGAGGACAGTTTCTTAAAGACTTTGTCAGGTTAAAACCGCTCATCCACAAGAGCTGAAGGTGTCAAAGAGGCGCCAAAGAGGAATTCTTATGTCTTTTTGTACAACTAAGCATTTCTGAGATGTTCTGGGCTTGTGCAAACTAGTGCATGTGTGAAGCACTTGTATGTAGCACATGTTTAAACAGGGCCGTACATTTAAAATGTTTAGGTATTAGACACTTTCTTGATTTTTGAACAGATTGAGCATATTTTCATGGGAGTGACGACCATTTTGTCAGTGTCCATTTGATTTCTCTGATGTATTGTATGATTATGGCTGGTCTGTGGAATGTCCCATCCAACTCATAAATGCAACAAAGATAATATAATATTCAGTCAAGTAAAGTAATCACAGCTCCCGTGTAAAAGGACAAACCCACTAAATACGGCCATTTCGCAATGGTGTTGGATATATACAGGATTTCAAACACCTTGTGAAGCACCTCCAGGTCACAGTTGGACAGGAAATATTGGTACATCCTTGAATTGTCCCTGGTCTAACAGGGGGTCACTCTCTTATTCCATTGTTCAACTTGCAGTACCATTACCCAAAACTAATAAACAAATATTACACTTCACAAAGTAGAGAAAAGTGTAGATTTTTGTTGAATTAAAAATTTGAAATTGACAAAAAGTTAAAATATCTAACTGCGATCTATATATTTACTAACGGTATGTAAGAATATTTGTTCAACTATAAATAATGGTGGTCAAGCTTGCCATTTTTAGATCCCATGTACCACAAGGGTGATTGTCAGCTTTTAAAATAGAGCATGAACTAACCAGAGCTTCCATTTGTACAAAGGGGAAACCAACTTAAGCTGGAGGAAAAGGAGGCGGCTCACTTCCTCTCCTGCAGCTGGGACCGAACAAAACACAATGCAATGGACAGTATAGCACACGTGGCTTGGACAAATTCATAAAATCACCTTGATGTGATTGATAAATGCCAAGTTGAATGTCAATTACTGAAGGTAGGGATCCACCGACCTAGCTTTTTCAGCTCTGATACCAATATTGAAACTTTGGCATCAAGTATCTGCCAATATTAACCCATACCAGTGTAGAGACTGAGTATGGTTTCCCCAAAACACAATCCACTTATTACAAAATGGATCCAGTTGTGGTGTGTAAGTGTTATGCAAGTTGAATTAATTATGTTTTGAATTCAGTTTTGAATGAATAAATGTTCAAACATTATAAGACATCATAGGCCTACATAAGTCAGTAAATAGTCTCATTACATCAGATTAAAGGTGCAACCAGGATATCAGCTGCTACCAGTATCGGTATGGGTGCATCACGAATACAAAATATATGAGAGGGAAAAACTGCATACCAAGTGCAGTGAACCAAAATCTGTGTATTTTGGTTTAAATATTAACATATCAGCCAGTAAGTAAATACAGTTGAGCAAAAGATTGTTGCAGTGGACAAACTAGACCACTGGAATTCTCATAGAAGCTGAAGCCCCTGCACCTGCTCCATAAAATAGTACAAACGCCAGCCAAGAATCACATACCAAAAGCATACACCTATGAGCAGGCATGGTAGAAATACACAAATGAGGCTTAAGTAAAGATTCAAGCTTTAAGTAAATACATGTAAAAATACATGCCATTACCTCATCCTTTCGTCCCACCACAGAAAACCACATGCTTTAGTCCAGTTCACACCAGGACGTCCCGCGCTGAAATAGTTGATTTATAACTTGAGGTGCAACCTGCTACATGCACTAACAAGCTCAAAATCACACAGGGCAAGAGTTATCCATTCAGAGTTCAAAATGACTGTGGGAAAAAATATTCTTAAAAATGCCAGCAAGAAAAAAATAAGTAAAAAATTATTCTGGACGTCTGGAAAAGGTTTAGTAAATTCCTTCCAAAGTGAACAGTTGAAGTTGGCGTGGTCACCAGCTGGTCAAACTGAAAGTCCTCATGGTGAACAGCGCACATATAATTATATAACAGGACAGAGCTAGCCCCTGGAGTTGGAGCTCTACCTGCACCTCCCTCTCTCCCCTCTGCTGCTCCAAACTCCTGGTACAGAGCACGCGGAGTAGAAAATAAACGGGCTGTGAGGGGGAGGGCTGTGAGGTACATCCTTCCTCCCCACTCCCCTTCGCAGTCTTCCTCATAAGGGGCTGAGCCATTAAGGAAAGCTACAATTTCCTTTTAAGAGACCAGACAGGTCGGATACGTCACAGCAGACGTATAGAAAAATGTTACTTTCACGAATCACATTTAGATTTGACCAATAGCTTTGATAAAAGTTTACAAGATATGATAACTTTCTCGAAATAGGAAAATGGCAGTTCTTAGCTGAAACATAAGAAAGCCAAACTGTGGACAAATGCACATGTTTAACACTTTATCAGAAGTAGAATAAAGTACAAATAAGTATAATGCACTTATTATATCCCTATATTAGCATGTGACTAGTACTGTAGTAATTCACTTGATCTAGAAAAATGTAACCATAGTAGCTTTTCTATAAATAAAATAAGAATAAAGCAGAAATTAGACTCAAAAGTGAGACATTGACTCAAAGATGTTAAATTTACTACAACTGCTACTCCAACATCTGCCCACCATCTCATTCACGTAAATGGAAACCATTGTAACCCATGCTGCCTGTAATCCACTGTACTATAGCAGCATTGCCTTTTTTAGCCTGATTATTGGAAGGGATTTGCAGTGAAGCCTATAGTTCATGCTTTGTGAAACAGGCCCCAGGAAAAAGCTCTCTCTGAGCCGCTCAACCAGAGTTTTGTACAAATGCTGCTTTGGTCGTCACATGCTCAGAAGCGACCTACGGCACTGTGACAATGAATGTGGGCTGATAAAATCCAGAGATTGCTATTAATAAATACATATTATAAATTTGAGATGTATCTTTATATATTTTTATGTCAGTGATTAGGGGCCAAATGTAATTAATTTCATAATATTTTTTCTACGCACGAGTCACTTATGAACAGCACACACAATTATTTTACTATGCCACAGTGAGATCTTCACATTCTTCTTCACATTCTTCTTGAAGTAGCGTGTAGTGTTGTCACGATATTAAAATTACAAACTTAATTTCGATACTAAGGAACAGACTTGATAAAGCTCAGGATCATTCTAAATCTATTCAGGAAAGGTTCATTTCTGTCCTGCGAATGTGGCTTTTTTAGTACCAATAACTGATGAGTATCTGGTTTTGAATTGCTGGAGGAGTGGTTGTGTTTAATAAGACAAAGGCATTTATAATAGGTAGTTTTATATGAAGAGCGGAAACCCAATCTCAAACCAAAACCTGATAAAAAGAAGCTCCTAAGACAAGTGTTACATAACTGTCTGTGTTATTCCCCTCAGGAAATATGTGAGCCTTGATGGACATGCGTTAACGTTGTGCTAAATTAAAGTGAAGAGTGGTGGGACGTCCCGTAGGCTGCTGGTACCTGGACTGTTCAGGTTCACTCCGGGGCCTCTGAGGTTCACATACAGAACTTAAGTGGTCGACTAATGGTTTTTTAAAAGGCTACGAAAACAAACTGTGAGCGGGTGATTTGCAATGGATACAGAACTACTTATTATCGTGTGGGAAAAGTTGTCTGAAATAAAAAATGATGGGAACTGTAAAATGGATTGTGGAGAGATGGATAGTGGAGAGATATATAAGCTACTTTTGACCATGACATATTGATCAAATTGTGTAACTTCTCCACTATTTTAGGATGACCAAATTATAAGCAATGCCATCTGTAGCTTATCTCAACAATTGTTAAGTTATGTACAATAAAAAGTGGTTTTAAAATAATTGAGCAACAAAAATACACTGCAAGAATTATACAAAAAATAGGAGTCTGAAACTAATTTGTCAAAATCTATATAAATGAGGCTGCAAATGAACCTCTAACAATTTGAGGCACACTTTGTTTCAGTAGGGGTCACTGTTGCATGTAAGACATTTGTGTCAGTAAACCCTGAAATACTCTACTGATATAAACAAAATAGACTCGCAAAAAGAGAACATTCTTCAATCCCATTGGTGGTCCACTCCCAATTTAAGAAGGGGGCCACAAACATCTGCCCTGATCCCTCCTTATTGCATGCGTTCCCTAGACACACTAAAGGCAATACCAGACAGCTATATGTTACATGTATAATGACGACAAAGCTCCCATTTAAAACTACTCCTATCCTGAATCCAATGTAACCAAATATGGCCTCTATAGGAGTTTAATTTTCCATTTTGCTGTTGCCAGGAACTGTACTGTACACACAATACATCTTTCACTTTAGTTCCAACATCAAAGGTGCATAGAGAAATAAACAAGAGTAAACATTGTAATAAGTTCCTCCTGCAGGCGCACTTAGAAAAGCAAACCTGAGGGACAGTTCCAGCAAGTGCTGCAGACACCACTGTATTCTGTCTGTTTAGTCTCCTCCGCTAGACTTAACAGGGGAAAAAGGACGCTTTAAACAAAGCTTGATTTTTCATGACAATCTCCATCAAAGAAGGCAATGTAAAGGCAGAGGAAGTTGAAGAAATATGCATGAATATGTGTTATATCTTTAAAATTTAGAAAGAACCAAGAATATGTTTGTATTTATAGGTACTCCAAAATAATTATACCAAGTCAAAGCACTCGGTAAACAATTTACATATTATTTTACAGATTAGTGATTGAAATGTGAACTCTACTGCAGCGACAACTGAGCCTACATTACTAGACTACTACATTATTATTATTAGTACTACCATAGACCAAATATGGACAAAACACAGGGCCTTCTGGTTGAATGAACACATGCTGCTTTTCCATCAAAATACTCAATAAAGACTCTAAAATCCTGAACGCCTGTTTAAATGAGGCCAGCAGATTTTTAAAAATCTGTCATATTTTTTTAAATGGGGTCTTACCTTGGCAGCCACGATGCTGAGGCCCATGCCATTGTGCTTCTTCAGGGTCACCGTGACGACCTCCGGCTCCTTCCTCATTGGCTGCGAACACAGATGAACAGGAAGACCACGTTCACTATCTACAATGGTTAGACTCTTAAGAGCAGTGTATAGTAAAATGTCTGCTTCTGAAAGAAAATGATAGTTGAAAATAGGGGAGGGAGGGCCGGGCTGAGGGAGGGAGAGCCGGGCTGAGGGAGGGGTGAAGGGGACGACCGCAGAGGAACCTGTGGTCCCTGGAGCAGAGTCAAGAATGAAAACCACATCATGGCTGCCCACACATCCAGAGCAGGGCAGGGCCTGGGTGGAGGAAAACATGCACAAAGGAACTCCAGCCAAAGACTAACACAGAGACAATATACTGACAGAGAGAAAGCCCAACGTAAAGAGAAACTACTAAGCTATGTGTGATTGAGCCAACATAGTGAGTGAGGTGGACAAACTGGTAGGGACACTGCATATGGTTTAAGTAAACTATATTACGAGCACAGCAATGAAAGTGCATAAAAATATAGATTAACTATAGTATGCTGAGTCAAGAGGAGAAAACGCCTCAAACGCATTGATGTTCAGTCTACCTCGAGAGCCCCACCCACAGCTCTGCCTGACACACCCCATTAATCAGAGTGTTTGTGAGAGAGACGCCTGCGCTTTGTCCAGTCTGAGCCTGTGACAGTGGAGCTGGGGTAAACAGGCCAATTACAGAGGAAGTGGCTCTGTGGGGCAAATCCAATGGGACGTCCCGTACACAGAGGGTTCGGTGTTGATGAAGCCGTCAGTGTATCTGCAAAGGTTGTTATGAAAACCAAATTGCCCCTTTTCTCAAGTCACTGTAATCACTGCTTTCTGCTCAAAAGACCACACACACGCTATTGGAGAAAGCTCATAGAAAGCTACAAGTCTCCACAAAATAATGTCTCAGTAAGGCTGGTTCATTGTAGGTTTTTTTTACCTTTTATGGCTAGACTTACCTGGGTTTAAGGGTTAGTGTTTTAACTTAATCCCACTTAAATCATGTAAATCTTGTAGTAGAAACAATGATTATAAACCATGACAGTTGGCACAGTACAGTATAGCTTTTAAGAGGTAACAGCAAGTGAAGAAAATAAAATACAGCTCGTAAGTTTGATTTATCTACATTTTAACCACTACCAGCCCTCGTCTTCCGCATGTAACTAGATCCTGTGTTAAGCAGTAGTGTATAAATGTCTATTCTACATAAAAGGAGTGAATGACATACCACCTCAGAGCTGTCTGCTGTGGAGAAGTGGCTGTCGCAGTCTGCTCCTTCAAAGTGGACGGTCCAAGTGCCGGGCGAGCGGGGGTGTGGCGTCAACCGACAAAAACCTGGACGTAAAACAGCGTACCAGTGTGTTATTAAGTGAGATTTACAATTAGAAATCATACCTTCCAGCACTCTAATTAAATCTCTAATTACGATTTTGAGAGGACAACCTACTTTCCTTACAACTCTAAAATATTAGTCACAGAAAATCATGTTCCTCTGTCAAACTGTATGTTTATTTGGCTTTTTTTTTTTTTTTTTAAACAGTCAATACCCTTCATGTTACCATTCAATCTAAACTTAATATTGAGAGTACAGTACACTGACTTGAATTGAATAGACAAAAGCAGTAATTTCCATCCATTTCCAAAGTTATGCTAAACTGAAATATCAAATATAACTTGCAGTATCAGGTATCGGTTCCATCAATATCAGTTCAGTTGTTCCTGGTTGGACTCTTTACTGACTGATATAGGCCCAGGATTTTTCATGATGTTTGAAATTTGTATTTTCTTAACTGTAGTTACTCATACAAGGCTGTTCAGCAGTTACCTCCAGGATACATAACAGTTACATAACATAATCAGGTTAATTTTGTAATTAGCTAATTATTTGAGGTATTTTGGTATGGGTTAATAAAGGATATCTGCAGATACTTGAAAACATAGTATGGTTATTGGTATCAGAACTGAAAAACCGGGATTGGTGCATCCCTAAGTGAGAGCAGGAGTACCTCTCTGTAGCAGTGGCTCGAGGAAGTCCTGCAGTCCGTTGGGAATACTGCGCACCACGTCACAGGAGTAGCCATCCTCAGGGAGCAGGAAGGGCAGCTGTAGGTCTGGATCCTCCTCCAGCTGCACCTCTCGTCCATCGCTGCGGGCCAGTTCATCGGCTGTGTTCTCCGCTACTGCCACCACATGGTCAATCAGCTCCTGCAAACACAAAGGGGGCAGCACAACAGACGGTGAAAAATATGCCTAATTAAATATTATATGCTAGTAAGACGCACTTATTCTATCTATGTGCTAAAGTATTTGTTTTGAAAGACTATAAACTAAGTATTGTGAATTGTTTGTACTATATAATATTTCCAATGAAGGGCTTAGAATGTTCCAGAGTATAGCTTTAAACCTATCCATCTTACATACATTCCACTGCAGATGTTTTTATATTGCACAAAAATACCTTCAAATCATGTATTCTTACCGTTAGCCTGAAAACTTGTAACGTGGCCTACTGATGTTACCTGGTTGTCTCCATGCTTGATATATATATTTAATGCCATACAGTGGACTATTCTTGGCAAAACACTTTATGGGACTTGTGACCCCTTGTGGCTAAAAATGTTCTCAAATAAAAGCTGACTGCTATTACTTACACTGCTGCCTATGCTTTTACTTAGATTAAAATTAAGGACTGTAGCAGAGTGAACTAGCCTCGAAGTATTAAAAGTATTAAAAGTAAACGGCCTTCAAAAGCGTGTACATCTTACAGGGGGGATGTAGGGCTCGTCAGGGGCGCAGTGGTAGTTGCTCATGAGTGCGTGCAGCTGCAGGGAGTTGAGTTTGAGCAGGTGTTGTGGATGTTCTGGACGTCCTGCATCGAGTACTTGTCCATGGTGAGCAGTGTGGTGGCCTGACAAAAGACAAAAGACAAAACACACACACACACAGAGTGAAATAAATAGACCATTTGCATGCAATGTGCGTCAACTGACTAAAGGGGGCGTGGCATTGACGAAAGCTCTCAAATTGTTAAGATCTCGCCAAAAAGTAGTATTAGTAAATAAGATCTTCAATTAAAAACACTAATTCAGCTGTCCTCTATTACCCACAAAACTCAATCCATGCATTCTACACTTAAAGAAGAAAATTCTTAAAATCAAAGTACAAATAATTAGTTGATTAAAAATGTGTTTTACTAAGAAACTATTGATCAATAAATCAACTGAACAACTAAAGAACCACAGCCCTAATTAAAGTATGCAACCGATAAAGAAATACTGGCAGCTGCACCAACAAAGAAAGTGACCTCATACACTACCCTTTTTTATTTTTACTCTACATTTTAGATACATATGGAATTTCAATCTAAAGTATAAAAAAATTTAGTAGAGTTATTTAACTTTTTTCTTTGCTACATAATTCCTTCCTACTCCATATATTTGATGTTTTCTGTATGTAGATAACATTTGTAAAAATAAAAAAAAAAACATTGAGAGGGTGTGTCCAAACTTTTGACAGGTGGCATATATTAGAAAATGAACATCTTTTCTTTGTATATTAGCAAAGAGCCATCATAAGAACATTTCATTATTGATCTCCTCTAACATAGATGCGACCAGTGCGTTTCTTACCTGCACTATTCTGCTGAGGTGGCAGTCCGCGGCCAGCTCCAGCCCCTGCTTCTCAGCCCAGGCCTCGATGTGGCTGAGCTGCTGTCGGAGGATGGCTCCCCAGTAGTGACAGCAGAGCCCTGAGTCACTGTCTGTCACCAGTTTGTTAAAGAGCCACATGTTGACAAAATGGAAGAGCTGAGAAAAGAGCTGGATGGTCAGAGCCGCATTCACCCGACAGCGCCGCAGCAAAGACATGGCCCCTGTGAGCGTGTGCAGAACGTCCTCTGGAGAGAGAACAGCAAAACATTGTGGGTATTTGTAGTAATGAGGGAAACCTATGTTGATAAAAATGGACACTAGTATTGTTTCATTCAAGCACATCATCCCCCTTGACGTGTACAGTGATTTGCAGGTTAATTTTGCACAGCAGTGTTTCTCAAACTGTGCCACAGGAGCTGGTGGCCACTGGCCTTTTCATACAATCATGTAATCGTGTTTTGTACTTTTCATTAGCCTGTTTAGTCCCATTTTAGTTTTGGTGGTAGTTAGAAAGCAAAATATTTGTTTAGGTGGTACTTTGTGTAAAAGTTTTGAGAACAAGTTGATAACACTCACATTCCATCTGTCTGTTTAGTAATTCATTTTTAGACAAATAGGACTGAAACATGAACATTTGGAGAGATTAGTTAGTTTTGAAGTAATACCTCACATAGTTTTGTTACCTATTTTGGGTCTCTGTGGATTATGCTCCTCTGGGTCATCCAGGAAGGCAGGCATGTAGTTATTCAAATCAGCTTGTAGACAGTGAACCAAGTACCTGCACAAATATACCAAGGTTGTTAATATTATCTGAACTTGTATGACCTTCTGAACATAATTTGAATAATTGTGTTAGCATTATATAAAATAGCTATGCCATACAGTAATAGACTTAAACAGACTTAGTCAGAATTTCCAGTAATATTTTATAATAACTATACCCTAATTGGCCTTAATGAAGCATAAAGAAAGACTTGATTCATAACAGACAAATAGTTAATTAAGAATGCTTAGTGGCTAATTAACCTAAACTCTGCATATATCCACTGATTACAGAATGACAAACAATAAGGTCTGTTGCCATAGTGATTAACAATTTAAAACAAAATAGTGCTCAGTATCAATACGCAGAGTTACTGACTTGAAGGCCATCTGGACGAGGTGTGCGAGGATGTCCTGAGCGTCCAGTGTGATCCGGCTGAGGTCTCGGTCCTGTTTGATGAAGTTGAGCAGCTCCGAGGCGTTGGCCATCCAAAACGCCAGAGCCCCCGCGATGTTCTTCTGCTTCTGTAACAGAGACGAGACACCGGTCTGGAGATGTTAGCGAGGAGGGACAAAGGAGAGGCGAATGTGTTAAAAAGAAGAGGGGTTTCTGTTTTGAGTGGCAGCCAGAAGGAGCAGTTGTTACTTCAGGGATAGAGTTATGCCCCACCCACCCCTCTCTCTTTTTGTCTTCCAGAGCAGTCACTAATGTTGTCATGTTTGGTCATTACAGGGACAGATCAGTTGTTGGCAAGTCAGTAAGATGCCTATAATGAAGTCTTTTCTTTTTTAGTTAAAAAATTCTTTACTTCATGCATAGGTCTAGCCATATATCCTTAAAAATGAGATGACGTGCTTTCAGTTCAAACTACTCAAATTAAACCACACCCTATGAATTAAGCCTAAAGATTATGTTTAATTTTGTTCAATCATGAATGGCTTTATACATTTTGTTGAAACATCAAGCCCTAAGGTATAATTCTATGCTGTATGCTAGATAGTAAATGTACTCTTACTTCAAAAATACAGTGTTTATAGATTAAGGTTAAAGTACACTTTATTGTCCCCGTAGCGACATTTGTCCTCCGCATTTAACCCATCCTCATCAGGAGCAGAAGAAACATGTAGAAACATTAGTGACCTCTTCTTTTCCCTGAGAGAACACTGGGTATATCAGGTCATCTGACACGAGACATTATGCATCTCATTTGAAGATGTATTAAAAATATATACATAAAAAAGTACTAAAAAATGACATAAAGCCTAGTGTCAAATAACCTGATTGGCCCACACTCCACCGCTCACACATGTGCACTCATCTATCCCCGCCTTGGAAAAACAAAAAATTAACAAAATGAAGAATGTCCCTTGATTCAGATCAGCCAGAGAACGAGAAATGGAGGCAAGAGCATCCACAAAAGGAAAAAAAAAACATATTTAGGAGACATTAAATACAAAAAAGACGGATGAACAAACACATGGGTCCAGACAGACAAATAAAGCAGAGGAGGTGGAGGTCTCTCTCAAACATGACACAGAACATATGCCGAGAGTCAGATGGGAAAGGAGTGGGGGCTTTGGCTTTGCACTGTTTTTGGTTTGTATTTTAGTAGGAGGCAGGTCCAGGAAGCTGAATGGAATTAGTTGGTTTGATGTTGCTGTTGTTGCTTAGTTTTCCAGCTGTTGGGAGGACGGATTATTATTATAAAGAGTAAGTTCATTGGAGACTTGTTAGAGTGGAGGGAAAAGAAGCAGCAGCAACACTGGGGCTGGTCACAAAGCAGACAGAGAGGAGGACAGAGGAGATGTATGAGGTCGGCGACATGAGATAACATTATGGAGTTAATACTTATTTTAGTTCAATAGACCCTGTTATCATTTATAATCAATACTTATAAGGGATATGTGAAAAGCATTAGTTTCATTCAGGTTTTGTAGGGGGAAACTGAGTGGTCAGCTGGCTAAAAGGTAAGTGATCTGTCTCACAACCAATCCAATCAGGGGAAGATTGCATAAGTAAAATAAGAACAGGCAGATACAGGGAACTAATAAATGGTGAGCCTGAGGGAGGTAGGGGGCTTGAACTTGGACAGTCAGCACATTTTGATGGACATCCTCAGAAGGAGAGGACTGCACAGACAAGCACAGAAGAGGCATTACAATGGGATCATGTGGAATCAGGAAAAAAGTATCCATAGTTCAACAGGAAACCAGCTAGAACTGGTAATAATGTAATTATGCATTATTTATGCCAAATTGTCTATTTTTTTCAGCTAAAACTGGAGAGAGACTCAACCCAAAGGTTTCTATATAATGCAAATCAAGTATATTTTTACTTGTAAAAATATTGACCTATTATTATTGTATGTTTTGTAATGTTTCAGTCATATCGACCACCTCAGAGAAAGAACATGTCCAGGAGACAGAGGGTGAGTTGGAGTCAGACTTCTGTAGCAGCCGCATGTACAGTATACTAGGGTCTATCCTACCTGGTCCCCTTCAGGAATCTCCTGTGTGAAGAAGAGGAGGAGGAGGAGGAGAGGAGGAGGAGAGGAGGACGTTCACAGGACAGAGAGAGAACACGTCAACAGCTACAGTATGGACACAGCCATGTAACGGACACACTACACACATGAGCATGGGTCACTAAAAGACATCCTGCATAAGGCACATGAACTATGTGGAAGTGCAACATAAAATGAACATGTGCATCTTTGGATATAAGTATCTCACATAGTAGTTTAGTAACTTAATTATTTCATGTTTTGACTGTCAATAATTTCATTTCAAAATTATCAAAACAAAATAAAAGTTTGCCAAAACTGTAACGAATGAAGATGCAATCAAAACACAAAGCACAGACAACACAAAACTACAGCTTTGACAAAGGCAGCAGCGGACATAAGACGGTTCTTACAACTACTGCGCTGTAGTGTAAGACAAAAAGCATAAGGGCAAAAACAAAACTGCAACTTTAAGGGGAGAATGCTCACACTAAAGATGTCCAATAAAGAGATAGAGCATATTATGTGTAATCCAATTGTGTAGAGACGGCGTACTGACCTGTATGACTCCCTCCATCATGCTCACCATCTTGTTGACGATGGCGATGACCTTGTGGGTGCGTTCGGAGGGGGACATATCGGGCCGGTAGGACGGGGACAGGACGAAGCGGCAGGCCATGTAAAGGACGTAGGTGGGGGACAGTTTGAAGTGCACTGTGGAGCTGTTGGTGTAGTTGATGATGGCCGATAAGAATGTGTCTTCAGCTGGACAAAAGACAAGAAAAGAAATTTAGGCTTGTAATAGTTTTAAAATGTACTGAAATGTTTGTTCTGCATGCTGTGTAGCTAATTCCCAATTTATTGTAGTTCCTGAATCCTGATCACACACACACACAGTAGGCAAGCATCCACCTGGAAGGTTTAGCAAGAATTTATATATGCGTTTGAGAGATCGATTCCTGGCTATGACAATTTGCATAATGTCTCTACACACATATGTTACCATATTTCTAGAAGCTATTGCAATTTAATTAGCTTAATATAAATACTATTAGTAAATGTCATTATGTGATCTATAAAACCTATAAAATGGGATACAACAAAACCCTGTGAGTGATTTAATAATGGATAGTGTTGACATATGGCCCGGTGCGGTGTGGATGAGACACTTTCCACACCTCCTTTCGGCTGGAAAAACTCATGATCTCAGAGAGGGCCAAATATATAGTGACTGTACACACAAGGAAGGAAGGACCTAAAACTAAATCAATAAACACGAGTGTAGGAAGAGAAGGCAAACAGCGCACAGGGCGTAAAAGGACAGGGAGTGTGGGAAACTGAAACTCAAAAATATTTAAAGTTATCATATCAGTATGTGTGGTATATTTGTGAGTGCATTCATTTTGTCCTGGTTAGATCCTGTTCCAGTCCTGGTCTAGGCTATTGATACTTGCAGTGACATCACGCTGCAAACACTGCCAAATAGGTTTTAAGATCATCTACATCCAAAATAGATTTAAACAACACATTTTCAGGAGCTTGTGATAATTATGTTCATGGTCCAGTTTAGGAATTTGATTTTCTACAAAAAAGTTGAGAGTGACTACCTGTAAAAAACTGTCGGCTGGTGACCATTATTATTTTAGAAGGACTTGTTTAACAGTCAAACACCAGGCTCACCTGTAGTTCCAACTATGTCAGTTCTTTCTAGTCATATTGTGTTAAAATAAAGCTCTTTAAAGTCTAACAGGCCTCAGATAGAGTAATGCTTACAGTTAGCATCACACCCTCAGGGAAAGCTGCAACGTATCAATAAATGTTGCAATGGTGTTATTTTTTTCCATGTTAGTCTTTATGTTAAGTGAAAACCACATAAGCAGCCTATTTATAGTACAATACTATTTGACAAACAGCAATGAATAAGAACTGGTATCTAGAAATTGTTATCTGCGCCTTGTGTTGCATTTTTTTTGTATGAAAAGCGCTCTATAAATAAAGTTTGACTGATTATCTGGCCATATATTTTCACCACATGTTTTTACAGTAATGTCATCCGATAAATTAAGATTTGCTAATTGAGTTACTGTTCCTTTAAGAAACTGAGTGTAGTACAAAATGGCTAGCCGGTTCAAGCAGTGACAGTGCAGTGTAAACACCGTGTGGACAGTAATTCAATAGTTTCCATGTATTGACTGATGCATTATTGTGGTGAGTGGGCAGTGCTTACAGTTGTCTCTGAACTCGATGCTGGCCGGTAGAGTCATCTCTGGCCTGTCCCCCTGAGCGTCCTGAGACCTGGGGGACAAAAGGGCACATGACAGATGTAGATGACATTACATACATGTCACATAGAGCTGTTTGTGGGTAAATAATGATAAAAGATCAGGAAGTGAGTCTCACCTGGCATCCTGCTGCTCCGCACGGATCATCGGCTTCACCATGCCCCGCTCCATATCCAGTTTTCCTGAGCTCTGGACAAGGACACAAATTTGAGGACTGTACGCAATATTTTACATTTGTGAGTAAATGTTAGGTTCAGTTGTGCCTAAAATTATACAAAGCTATAAACACAATAATAGGTTGACTTGCACAGAGACAGATAAACTAAATAAAACATGCAACATATACAAAGCAGCTCAACCCAAAGTTCTCACGACTGCTGCAGTTTCCTCACTGCTTTCGGGAAGACTACAGTTTGTCCCTGCTCTAAATTTGATCAAAGCCCTGTTTCATGTGGGCATGCTACATAATTTCTTGTGAGTCACTGGCACAGTTTTCAACAAAGATGGAAAAAGTAGAGTTCAAAATTAAAATACTAAGATTTAAACTTGACAAAATCTTAAGTCTATGCAATAAAATCTATTACAAAAGACTATGATGAACAGACTCAAGTATTAACGGAAGCACATGATACCAGTCAAAAGCGTTTTAGTTTACTGCCATGTCAATACCTTGCTTGTTGGCAGTGGTGCTCCACTGTGGACGTCTCCGTGAAGGTCAAAGGTAGTCTCTGGGACACTTCTGCATTAGACACAACAGGCACACGACACATGGGGTTACAGACCAGGAAGTGTGCCTTGTCCCGATGACTGTGTAGAACTGACTACCCGCTCAGAGCTAATCCTAGCATACACACAGCAGCAGGCAGAGGAGGCGGGGACAGAGGCAGTAGATGACAGCCTGTTTGTCATATGCACATATAAACACGGACCCCTAATAGACTTAATACAAAATGAGAGCAGGTCCCGAGAGAGACGTAGCAATTAACTTTGAAGGACAGGCTTTGACTTTCCACGCCCGTATGACATCAGGCTAATGACGGCTGATAAACAGCACTGAGCAAATACAGAGAGTAAACACGGAGCGAACAGAGAGATGCTTTATGACACAGAGTCGGTCTTTTAAAAGCAGAGTTCTCCTCTTTTTAGCAAGACTTTACTTCAAAACATACTCAAAGTGCTTTTTTAATGTAGATGGATTATGCATCCAAATATATAGCAATGAAAATGTATTATGACATGTTAATGTTTGTGCTCATGACCAGGGACAATTTTTTTGGCTTGTCTGTATGTAAAAGAAACATAGCATGACAGATATAGAATTTTTAGAGGTCCATTTTTGTTTAAGTTTTATTTGGCACAGAAATGGCATTTAAAAACATGTACCCCACTTCTGTAAAGCTAGGTATTACAAAACCATTGAGATATACTATATGTACAGTATATCCCTTTCACTCTTTCTTGGAATAAAACTCAACGCTACATGACGGTGCCAGTCTGGAGTCTGGAGACTTAAGCTCTCAAAGACAACATAGCGCGTGCCAGACCCCTCTCTCTAATCGGCTTCATTGAAAGGATGTGTCTGAGATCAGTCAGAGAAAAACATTGGAGCAAAGCCTAGAAAACCACAGGGAAGATCTGCGTCCCAAACATCTCCTGCTCCTCCAGACTGATATGACACTGCGCTGTGTTAAATGACAGCTGGCATTGGCTTTGTGAGACTTTATAGGCTCAGACCAGCACCATACATCACGTCCAATCACGGCATCAATTACAGAGACGCTCACTAAAGAGAAACAGCTTGAAAGACCTTACCACAAATGAGAAGCAATAGCAGTTAGTATGAACGCTAACACACAATGGCACAGATGCCTAGACTTGAATTCCTGAGTCCTGTTGTCTTGGATTCTTCTCAGTAAAGTTAGTATATTTATATGTGTATGGTTAAAAGAATTAATATTGCTTACAGGTTAAAACAAACCCCAAAATACATGCAACATTTAACTTCACAGATAAAGTTTACACAAAAAACTTTTGATCCATTTCATTTGTAAAAGCTAACAATACCAAACACACAGTACCTTTGTTAGTTAAATATTGACCAACTTCAAAAGAATATTTCCAAACTCTAAATCCAGGCTTTATGCTCTTTCTTGGGTCCATGTGTGAGAATGAGGCACGGGACGGGGTGTGGCCTGTACCTCATTTTCTGGCAGATTAAAGGGCCCGGGACCTCTGCTCATGTTCATGTGTCTACTCTGAAAACCCACACAGCCCCTCCCCCCTCCGCCCCTCGCCTTCATCTGGGACTCTGGCTGCAGCCACAAACCTCATCAACTCTGCATTCAACTTCAATAACAGAATAGAATTATAAGGAAACGTGAAAGACAAAAGAGGAATGACTTTTATATAAGCTGAATGTGGAAAAAGACAATAGTTACAGTAAGTTTGGGAGACAGCCGTTTGGGGAGTATCCAAAAACGTCCAAATGAATATCGAAGTACATTAACTTTAAGATAGTCTTTACTGAACAAGACAGATGTCAGTGCTTACCCAGACTTGTGCCTTCCTCTCATCATAGCCGCTGTTTGGCCTTTCCCTCCTTGGTCGAACATGGGGTCCACAAACTTGAAGACGTGTGCGGAGCCAAACTGAATGGTGGATCCTGAGCGCAGCACGGTTGTCTCGGTGATACGCTGTCCATCCACAAACGTGTCTGCGTCTGGGCCGTGGGGCGTTACAGTGACCATGCCCTCACTGTGCATGAGGTTACAGTGGTGAGGGAGGATGCCCGGGCCCAGCAGCTGCACACACACAAGTGGGTTATTAGATGGTATTATAGTTGGCAGGATTCTAAAATTTCAAACAGACTTTCGATACTAAAGGAAGAGACTCAGTTCCAATGCCACAACGAGGATAAAAACACTTTTAATTTAAACTGAAGAATGTAATTTTCAACATTAAACCATAGTACTTTCCTTAATATTACCACATAGTCTTATCTGTATAATCAGTCAGTCCTCAGGCATCCAGGTAGGTTCCATATTGGCTCATGGACGCACTGTATACTAGTCTATGTGTCTATCTATTTTATACTTTTTCTGATACAGCCAAGATCATTCTAAAGCTATTCAAGAAAGGTGCATTTCTGTTCAGTGAATGAACTTTTTTAGTATCGATGTGTGTTCAAATGAGTATCTAGTTTCAAAAGAAATTTTAGTTTTGATTACCTGATATGAGTGCCTGATTTTGACTTTGGACAACCCTGTGGTACAACATGTCCATCTCAAATGATAATGATAATGATAGTGACAGCACACTTTCATAACGATTTTGCACACAGTTATTTTCATATACTGAATAAGGGCAAATGGACAGTCAACATTCCTACTAGACATTAGTTCGACTACTGTTGTCAATGCAAATAGAAAATAAGTATTACCTGTATGGCCCCATCGTCTGTGCAGTCAGAGCCCACTTCGGTGATGCTGTGTTGGAGTCTGTAGAGCTTTGGTTTGTCCCGCGAATCGGAACCATCTGAACAAAATGTCAACACACTTTAATAATGCAATGATTCATCAAAGCTACATACATAATGTGTTTGAAATATAAATTGCCATACACATTGCCATTAGAGACAGAACAATTTTGGGGGACAGATGAGGCAGCGTTAAGTTAGTTAAAAGGATGATTAGTTAAAGCTATGCAGCACATTAGTTTGCAAAGAAAAATATCAGAAATTCTGTTGAAATAATATGTTGGTATTCATGTGTAAATAAATGATTGTATTGTAAAAAAGAAAATCAAAATAGAAGCATTTTCATCATATATAGTGCAGCTTACTACACAATCAAACCCATTACTGTGTGTGAGTTTTGTGCCCAAAAGTGCAGCAGGACATAGTAAAAGAAAAGGGGTGCACTGTAGTTGTTTTTACCTTCATGGTGCCGATATGCGTAGTAGGCATAGTGATTCCCTCGCCCTATGCAGGCAGACAGGCAGCAGGCAGGTACCAAGAGGAGGAGACATGCACAAGGCCCCACGCGCACGCACACCCACACACACACGCATACACACAAACCATGCCACGAAGAGGAAGAGAACAGACAGAGCAGAGGGTGAAAATGCAGCCAGGAGGAGAGCGCAGCATCACCTGGTTAAACCCATGTACACATTCATTCACTGTTCACATTCACTGACAAATGTTAAGACATACTGTAAATCTCAATTCTGTAATAAAAAGTGATGGATCATTTTTTGCTCTAGGCTATCTTCATATCTTTGCTTGGATTGTTTGGAACATTTGGAAAGCAATAAGGTTCCATTTAGAAATCTGATCCTTTCTTAAAATAACAATAACAAATGAGATGTTGAAAAATTGGCGTTAAATATTGCCTGATATTCAAGTGTCTATCTATCCATCTATCTATTTATCTTTCTAGTCCAGATACTTTAAACTGACTATGGACTTAATTATATAGATGGACTGCTCTATAATAACCAGACCCATACATTCCCACACACTCTGAGCAGAATACTGTTTAGTTTAAGATCTTGGCAGATTTCCAGAGACAGTGACCCGTCAACCTGACAGTAGATGGAGTAGATGTGTTAGTATAAGCACTCAATGGGACGTTTAACAAGAGCTGTGTCCCCGGTAGGCCCAGTCAGTTAATGGCATGAGAGGGAATGGGGTCAGTAGTGAGGCGCGCCAAGCGGTTAGGGCTGAAATAAGACGACTCTAGGAAAAGACAGAGCTCCGAATTCTCCAAAGGGCTTTACATTGTTCATTGTTGGATGTTTGAGCATATTTCATGATTAACTGTTGTTTTAACTTGCCCCAAAACCCCAAGGCTGTCAAAGGCTTCTTGCAATTATATAACAGAACACTTGTGGAAATACACTTTAAAACTATTATATGAGCTAAAACAAAGAGGCACTATGCATTTATTTAACAGCTTAAATGCTAATGATGTGTGTCACCATTTTGTGTTTAAGTTACATCTGCAGTTGGAAAAAAACACTAGGTAATAACTTAATTGTGCTTATTAACTTGATTGTCCTTTACAGAACTACAAAATTGTCCTTTACAAAACTACAAAATGCAAGTACAGTGACATAGGTTAAAGGTTATAGGTCATGTACAGTATTGGTCCCAGGCAGACTGAATATGCAGGGATCCATTATGGGTTTCCACCATTTCTGTACAGTGCATTTCGAACTCAAAGGGAAATCCTCTGATCACAAGGCCACTAAACCACAGCACAGTAGGAGAGGCAGAAACATCTGGATCCCATAATGCCATATGTGATTTACTTACCTCCACAAAGAAAGGATGTATGCTTCACCTTTGGCTCAACCTATGTTATTGTTTTTACTGGAACTACACTGCTACCTACTGGTCACTGGTTGCTACTACAACCATGTAACCACCCTCTAACTGCGGAAAGTTGAACGTGGATTTTGTGTTTGTACCTGGGCTCAGTTCTACTAGATAAGGCAGTTTCTCAGGTGGCAGAGATCCATCCTTCCTTAAGCCCTTTTCGTCCACTTTCCTCCCTTTCCGGCCTGGATAATCTGGAGGTCGCTTTTTAAGTTGAAATACTAGTGCACCTAAAAACAAGAAAGACATTCAAACATCATTCATATTACAAAAATCACTCCCAACTGGTGTGAAGTAAGATCTACTACTCAGAGCCAGTACAACAATGAATGAAATGTAAAACAAAACCAGACCTAAACAGAAGTAGTTTTGGAACACTTAAGTACAACAATGTCAACATCCAGTCAAAGGAATTTGTTTACAGTTGCAACTCATGCAACATAATGAATTTGTGGTATTTATCTTCCAAGTCAATATAGCTTGACAGGAATATTGTTGACCTGTTTGATTGTACAGCAACTGTGTAAATAAGGAATTTGCACACAGGTTGCAGAAGACAGACAACTACTTGTAGCAAATAAAGAGTAAAGGATTGCACTGGAATTACAACAGTCCACAACTTCTAGGGACTGACTATAATTTAATCTACAAAACTAAGACTGATCAGAAACTATGGTGGAACACAAAAAATTGTAATTACTATGCATAAACAGTAGGAGGGGGTAAATGCCAAAAAATAGAGGGACAAAATGTAGTTGGCAAAATCTACTATTAATATTATTCCTGAATAAATAAATACTTTTGAGCATGTTCCATAGTGAGTTACCTCTGTCTGCGGGCCAGTCCCTGAAGATCTGTAGCGGGCATTCGCTGTCATCAAGGATCACCTCTTTACCTGACTTGTCGTCTTGCTACAAGAAAAACAAAATACAGACTTTAAGTTTAAATCAACAAAGCAGTTACTTACAATGCCATGATTACTGCAACTGGAAAAGGAATACATTGAATGATGGACAACAACTTTACATCAAAATAAAAAAGTACCATAACAATTAGTAAATAATCAGGTAAGGTATCTTATTTTACGAATTTACACAAATCTCGCTTAACAAATTTAATGAGGTAGGCTTTATTAAAAAAGCTTGTAGTGAAATGAAAACAGCGTATAATATGCTTGTACCTGTAGACATATTAATATTGAAAATGCTGGGACCTATTTACCTTATTACCAAATCAGAATAATAGTGTCTCATTGTAAGTACGGTACAAATCTGAGCAGATATAGTCTTTCTAAAAGGACCCCTGATCTTTATGCTGCAATAATCATATTCTCATGTCTCATAAATAGTGCAATTTTCTCCATTTCATCTCACAAATGTGTGTAACTGCTGCTGTCCCACATCCCGGCTCAGCCTCCCTCTCCCCCAGGACATCAGCAGCACACCACATGCTACCAGCCATATACGCTGCCTGTTTCTCCAGCCCATGCTAAGCTAATGGACTCTCCACGTGTCTTTGGCTCATCAACAAACTGCTCATGTGTTGTGTGTGTGTTTGTGTGTGTGCATGTTTGTGTGTGGGTATAAGTGTGCACAAAGTCTCCAGAGGGTCTTTGACTGCAGTGACTGTGCAAGCAGAGTAGATAGCATGTGAGTGCCTTCCACTGTTAAAGGTGTGGGGAAGAGCATCTGGTGCAGTCACGGTGAAACAACGGTGAAATAACTATAATGAACCATTATATGTCCAAGGAAAATATGTATAGTCTGAATATGTACCTATAATACTGAAGTTATAGAACCTTTATTCACAGCAATAGATTTTAACTTTTGATCCATGTTAACATACCTCTGTTTTGTACATCTTTCCTATTCCATATTGATAATATTTGTAGTCATTTTTAACAAAATTGTGATCAAATACCTTCAAACTGTCAATAATAAGTTAGAGTTATTTTTAATATTCAGGGTTACTAGTCAATAAAATATGAATATTTATGAGAAAAATATTTACATGTAAAAGTGCAGTGATGTTTGCAGTATTACCCTTGCTATGCAGTATTCTCGGGGGTTCTCCTTCTCAAGGCCATACTTCTCTAGCGCCTCCACCACAGCGAAGTCCGCTGTGTCCCTGGTGGAGAGCAGAATGGTCTTGTACGGGATGTTGGGCTTTAGGCTGTCTGCGTATATTCGTAATGTGCCTCCTAAAACATAACAACAAACTTCTGGTCAGGCCACAAGTCACAAGCTCAACTTCAAATGCATCAGCAGACATTACCAGTGCACACAATTCTATGTTAAGGCAAGTTTGCAAAGATTGTGTCAAAATAACTGGACTTAAATATTTCTATGTAATTTGTAATTATTCATTATCCGGCATGGCTTGGAAAATGTTATTTTAGCTAGTATACAAATTTGTATATGTGATGTGGCAGTGGTTTCTTTAACTAACACATCTATGCGAGATTTCACTGTAATTTCACAGAGAGGACATATAAGAGTGGAATATTTTTGGTCAAAAATGTGAAAAGGTGTTCGACTTTAGACTAGTAGCTGCGTTTGCGAAAAAAACATTTTCACTAAATTATATTAAGCCCCGTTAAGCCCCCCCAGCAGTGAATAAAAACATCTACCACCAACACACTTAAATTCACAGAAAGAAATGCCAAAAATATATTTTGTTTATGTCACCATGTTCCTCCTCCTGGGATTTGGGGGTGTGACAACCACAGTGTTGCTCATACTAGTTGTAAATATAAAAACTGCACCACATTTCCTTTTAGGGAAAAGTGAATCTGCACATCAGCTCAAAATGATCACCTCTACTCCACAGGGCAGCCATCAGCAGCAGTATTTTGCGAGGCATGACACAAAATAAGCTCTTTAAATGGCACTTTTGGTTGAGATACACGTCACTGTCTAGCCACAAGCTGTACTATCCCAGTGGGCACACGTGGACTGAGGTGTTTTTAGCTTGTGTGCACTGCTCCGTCCGTCTGTTCGTCTGTGAGTGTGAGTCAAGGATTATCTAATCCCTCCAACTGTGAGTTTGCATCATTCATTCAGCCACTGTACAGAGTCTATGAGTAAACAAGCCCAGGCAGGTCTTCCCCACAGAGTGTCACAGCAAAATGTTCAACTAGGATGCATGTGCTATTATTATGCATGTGCTACAAATCAAGGACACTTCACTAGCGTCACACACAATATTTAGCGACTCACAAAAACAAAAAACGATGATACATTTCACATTAAAAGTTGTTGTTTTTTTTTACTTGTCATATAGCATAACTGTCAAAACTCATTTTCCATGGTTAAGGGAAAAACAGAAAAATAAACAAAGTCAGAAGGTTGGTGATGATTTAGCTGTAAAATGTATATGATTTGCTCAGTTTGATAAAACAATTACTTGGAGGCCAGCTAAATAGATCTTTTTAGCAGCTTAAGGAATGCTATGGAGGTTAGTCACTTTTTTTTATTACAAGCCACTAACAATGTGTTCAATTTTAGATTTTTATTAAAATTTAACTGGGTATATTCATGTGTGGACTACCATCATGATAATACAGTCATTATGAAACAGTTTAATTGTGTTTTGTGGCAGCTGATGCCAAAATGGCAGCTAGACAGGCAAATTATTTTTAACAAGATTTAAAATTTGACTAAGTTTTAAAGAACTTACCCGAGTCTGGTCTGCCATCACTGCTCATAAACTCCTGCATGCGTTTCTCCAGTTTCTGCTGCCTCCTCCTCTTCATCACCACCTCCGGGTTGGAGATGGTCCTGGTGAAGCTGGTCTCTGGCATGTCTTTGTACACTTCTGCTGCCAGACGACTGTTCTCCCTACACCCCAAAACACCCCAAGACATTAGCAATAAATAAACGCAAACTTCAATAAAAGAGGACTGCAGTCATAAATTTGAACTAGACAAACGCAGGAACAAGAGGTGAAAAGGGCATCTCTCCATTCTTTCGGCTTTTTGGAGGATTATGTTTTTCTTGGCATTAAAAGCGATGCATTCTCCAAGGACTAGGGGAAGTGAGGGCAGGGACAGGGAGATAAATGTGTCCTACCCGTCCTCCCGGCTCAGACTTTGGTCATCTCCGTCTGGGATGCGGGCAAACTCCTTCTCCCTCTTTTTCTCCTTCTTCTTCTCCTTCTTGGATAAAGTTCTCTTGAAATTCTGGATCACTCCGTCCTTCTCTTTGTCTGGCCCGTTGCTCTGACTCTTCTGTAGGGAGCAAAGAAGACAAGTTTATATATATTTTTAATCACTCCATGTGCAGTTATTTTTATCATTTATGATGTCAAGTTGTTCTGTAGAATTTAATTTAAGACGTGTTTGGATTTTAATCATTTTTCTTTTAATTAAATTGAGTGTGTGGGTGTTCATAACTACAAAAGTGAAAAACCATGTCTAAGGAGATCTGCGTAAACAAATCAATATGCAATAGAAATATGAATGCAAATACTGTTAATGTGAATGTTTGAATGTAATAGTTAATTTATTTTGGAGTATCCTTCTTTTCTCTTTAGCAAATAAATATGTTAATTGCTGGAGCCTATCCCAGTAACGATGTGCCAGAAGCAGACATATTGTTGCACACTTATTGGTAATGGACTAATTCCAAAGAAGTAAAAAAAAATTAACTACACACATAACACATTAAAACACATGTATGGGCAGTTGTTGACCTTGGGTAAAATGTCGTTTTCATTTTTCAGTACAAAGCGTCCTTCTCTGTCGTCTTTGTTCCAGTTTAGTTGAACTACTAAAGGCTTCTCGTCCAAGTCCAGCTGCCGCTCTTCTGAGAAACACAAAAACTTGATTAATTTTACCCAAATATTCAAACTTATCTCACTGGGGAAATATCTTAATGTAATATGTCCTCACCTCCGCTGACGTGGACCTCGTACAGGGAGTATTTAGGTGAAGACAGCATTCTCATGTCTGGTCTAAACTTCTCAGCTAACGTCTCGATGACGTCTTGTGTCGTGGCTGTGCTGGACACGCGGATGCATTTTGTGGCAAAGTTTCCGGCCACGCGGTCCTGGAAGTAAAACCGCATCACGCCATGGAACTCCAAATCCTGAAAAACACAGAAATATATTTTAAGACATCTATACAATAATTTGAATGCAGTATTGAAGGTTTAATATTGAAATGTGTTCACTTTACTAGTTGTATCAACATATGAAAGCTGGAACAATATATTTTTGGGATCTGTATTTATTGTGTACAATTTCTTTGCAAAAGTAGAGACATTTTTGCTATTTTTATGTAATACTGCAAGATTTGAGCTGTAGAATGTCGAATAATGTCTATAGCTACTTATTAGTTCATTGTGCCATTTATTTGCTCCAGCTCTTGCCTTACAGTGATACAGAATATTTAACAATAGGTTTACTGCAATTATCTTGCTTTGTGTGAGTGGCATAAAGTAGTTTCAACATTACTGTTTAGCACAATATTTCTCTGTAGAAATATATCCTGCTTATACATTTGTTATCATGACAGGCCTACAGTTTACACATATAAAAAGGGCGGACTTCATTTAGTGGATACAGGGGATGCATAAAATAAGTGGTCATTAGAGGACATCTTTTGCCTGCAGCCTGAGTTTGACATTTCTGTCACACTTGTGAAATTGCATCATTGCGTCTTGAAGGCACATGACATCATTTTGAGTGCATGGTGTGAGGAGACTGTGTGAGCAGCTCCACTGTTACAGCAGGAGAGGAGAGGAGAGGAGAGAGGGCTTAGAGCCAGAGAGAAGGAGAGAGAAGGAAAGAGGAGAGGAGAGAGAGAATCAGCACATGGTGACACTGATGACAGCAGAGGGTTGATCTGTCATTCACTGGTCATACATCCTCAGGACTGTGCACTAGCAAAGTGAAATAAACAGCTCTGGACTCAACATTGTATCTATACAATCCACTTGATCAAATTTGTGATATTGTGACAGGTCTACAAATTGGTAATAACAAATTTTGAAGCACAATATATAGCTACAGAGATATACTGCAATAAACAACACTATTGAAACGACATTATGCTGCTGACA